GAAAGGTACCTAAGTTACAATACTCTTTAAATTAAATTCTTTTCTTTTTTTGGAAGCTGATAAAGGGTCTGAATTTTAGATCAAAACTGGCAATGTTTAAATCAAATAGCACCTTCTTGTGTAGATGAGAAGGGCTCATAAGTGGTAGCTATTGCCACCTCCACTGTTACTGCAAGTGTGTCAGATGTGAACCGGCAAGGACAAGGGCTGAGAGGAAGGAGAGCTCAGCTGGCTTGGGTGGATCTGTCCTTAATTATATTGTTCTCAAACATCAGTTCCAGTCAGACACTTGCTTTTAAAAAAAGCCTTTGTTTAAAATCACAGGCCAAGAAAGCCTTTTATAGTCTAGATTCTAAAGAGTTCTGTAGGTTGGAAGTCTGCATGCATGCAAACTGTGTGAGCCTTTGTGTTTTAGTAAAAGATGCATTGGGAGCATAAACCTGTTTGTTTTCATGACGCTCCCAAGTCAAGTTTTATGTGATAAGAAGTGAATATGCCATGGCGACGTGCCCTTTTTAGCTTCCTGATATACATGCAAGACTGATTTCACTAGTTCCTTGACATTTGCATTTCATTCCTACATGCTCTTTACTGGGCTTTTCTTTTGCTTTTCTGCATCCCTCTGCTCTCATTGTTACTTGCTAGCATCTTTTCTGTTAGTCTTATGGACTTATTCATACTTGTTACTGCTTTCTGACTCTTTTCTCTTTGAAACCAGCCTAGCCAAGGTACTCCTCTGAGTCTAGGATGGATCTACCAGTGAGCTCAGATTTGTTCATGCTTTATTGATGGATGTGGATATGGCCTCTAGTAATCTACTGGCAGAGAGAATGAGCTGTCTCCTAGGAGAGTTTTACTTTATGCACAGTGGCAAGTCCATAACCACAGGACAACAAACTCAGCACAGGAACAAAGTTTTTTGTCCCCAGAGAAAAAAGGCAACTCTATGAAGAGCAATAACTGGACTTCTCCCATCCCCACAAGCTCAAGCCTGTATTTTGTAATTATGTTCGGTGACTAATGAAGCAGAAACTGGCTAGATGCTTCCAAAACTCACTTCTTTCCCTTCCTGTGTTCACACTTTCCTGGCACATGTTTTGCATGTGAGTTCTAGCAAAATAAATGTGGCAAGAAGTCATCTACACCTGCTCCTGGCCTGTATGATCTGGAATACAAATGATCCAGTGAAGGTCTCCAAGGGCTTAAGAATAAAAAAACCCTAGACAGGAATTCCTGGGTCCTTGAGTGGCTGGGAGGAATACAGCCCCAGTGCTATCCACCCTGCCTCCCCCTTTGTGACATAAACAAAAAAATAGACTTGTGTTCTCTAATATCACTGGACTGTTGAGGTTGTTTGTTATGGCCATTACCTTGCCCTGATGAACTCACTAGGTAAAAATAGGAAGCTCTGTCTAGTGAAAACACTGCATCTGACCTTGAGGAATATGTAGTACAGCCCGGGCCATTTTCTGATAACGTATAATTTAAGAAAAACAGAAAGCCCTTCTTCCCTACTTTCTATTGTGCTTTGTGATTTTCACATTTTAACCCATGAATTTGACACTGACTGTGATGAGACACAGGGAAAAGCCTTTTGCCAGAAGGGAGACATGGTTACTGCCCTGGCCAATACCAGTGGTGCCAAGGGGGATGGGGTGGCAGCTTTTGATGGACACAGTGGTATTGGTTCCAAGAGGAAGTCATGAAACCTTGCAGCTGAAGAAACCATGGTGTTCAGGGAATGATAAGTATTGGATGACAAGGTCTGAGTGTCCTTTAATCAAGTGCAGAACACTTGGAGATTTTGAGCGATACTTAGAATATCATGAAGGCAATAAACGCTGGCAACTATAGGTTCCTTCCATAAGTTATCAGAACCTGAGAGAATTCGGGAGAAATACTTCCACTGTAGATTGATGCAGGAGGAATAAAAGATGATTTTCTGGCTTCAGCTGGAATTTCAGAAAACATAATTGCTCCCCTTCTCAGAGGCGGAGCTTTTAGGAAGGTATGTTGTCTCTTTCCAGTCATTTTTGCTTGGGGGAAGCCACATTCACAAGTCAGGCAGCTCCTGGGCATACCTGCACTTTCTATGGTGACCTCAGTGGGTGTTTTGGCATCAAAGGTATTTATAGTACACCTGGAAGCTAGAGAGGAACTCATAGGTATTCTTCATATAAAAGGCAAAGATCCTGACTCCTTTGGTAACTGCTTTGAACTTTTTTCTTTAATTGAAAGAAAAGTACATTAAAGTTGAAAAACACAGGTGAACAGATCTGAGTATTCCTCTCTAATTTCCTTTAGTTCTGATAACTTATAGAGGAACCCATAGTTACCAGTTCTTATAAATCTCCAAGTGTCCTACGCTTTGAGCAAAGGATGATCAGACCTATAGTTCCTATGTTAAAATGTGTGGGAGAGAACTTAAATGACTCCCCTTAAATGTAGAATAATTGCTGCAACTTTGACTATATGGAGACTTATTTTTTATACTGATATGTTTAGAGCTATCATTTTTTTTCTTTAATTGGCTGTAAGCACTGTAAATAAGACTAGCTAAGATACTGGTATGTAATCTCTAAAGCTATCAGACAGTCTCTTTCCTTGAATAGTGTTCTCTCTCAAATATATGAGCACAGCAGGATGGTAGAGCCAGTCAGCTTCAAGAATGTCAACTGGATATGAGACTCAAGATACAGAGGCTATGACTCCCCAGGACACAAATGTTTATAAATCAAAAACTAAACCAACAGCCTCTTAAAACAATTCAGTTGCTACCTTAATTAAATTATGTGAATTGATTCTTCTGCATATCTTTATCCCGCATTTTGCAAAGATGTTTTTCTCACTACCTGACTAGCCAGCTCAAGTTACTCAAGTAGTTCCCACTATCCTCACTGACCTCATTCTCAAACTACCCCCTTCTTCACAAGATAACAAATTCTGGGAGAGGCCTCAGATCAAAGCTTTTGTCCACACATCCTCACAGGGACTGGACTTAGGACCCCTTGGCTGCCCTTAACTTGGAATATGTCTTGGTGTTTTTACTCTCGCTATGGGTTGTACTGGAGGTGGTGGATTAAAATTGACTTGCTGGGATTCCAATAATGTCTCAATGGGATTGTAAATATAACTTTTTGGATTGTGAGGAAGACTACAAAAGAGATTACAATACTTAGATGACTATACACAATATTTGGGATTACAATAAAAATGGAAAAAATAGTGTAGCAGAATGGGAGAGATTTCTGTCAAGGGTAAGGGAAACCAAATGGAGAAAAGCTGAGGGATCCAGGGAGGGAAAGATTTCTCAGCACTGCTTGCCCTTGAAAATCATTTGTGCAAAGCTGGGGTGATTATGACGGTGTGTAAATGCTATATAGGTTAGGCACAGAAATCAGAGGGGCTGGAGATGCCACATCTATTTGATGTGTGTCTGCTCACATTTGTTTATGTGCATACATATAAATGGATGGATGCACATGGGCACTTTGGGTAACTGTACAATTTGAAGCGAAACTTTTCATCAAAATTTAAACTACACAATTTTACTTAGATCACATAAGAAGGGACACTCCTGGAATATGGGACATACACCTTTTCACTAAGAAAAGGAACAGATTTTCTTTCTATCCCCTGTAATCTGATTGTTCTGATCCACCCACTGGTTGCTCTGGAAGTTCAAATTCTTGTTAGTCTGCAACTGAAATCATTATATCCTTTATCTTTCTATGCTAGAAGGTCATTTTTCTCAGACTTTGCATCCCAGAATTTGTTCTAATTAGCTAATCTGATATCAAGCAAGCAACTATTGGCTCATTATGACTTGTGTTTCTTTTTTTAGAATGACCTACATTGATGTAAAATATGGCTTTTAATCATACCTCCAGAGAAGTGGCAAACAGTATACATTCTGGGTATGGTAGCATGCTGAAGGAATTAATTCATTAGTAAATTATTGAACTCTTAAATTATTAACTTTAATATTTATTGAGTTAAAATTTAAATTGTGAAAAAATATAAATAAATTATCAATCAAAAGACTTAAAACTAATAAAACACTAAAGCCAGGTACTGTTCTGAGCACCTTACATTTAATTTAATTCTCGCTACAACTCTGTGGAACAGGAACTACTTTAACTCCATTTTACAGATGAGGAAATCGAGGCAGGGAGAGATTAAGTAATTAGCTGTCTGTGTAGATGGTAGCAAATGACAAAGTTGGGGTTTGAACTCAGGAGGTCCGGCTCAGACCTTAGGCTGGTTAGAAGTGATCTTTCTTCAATGGGAAAAGGAGGCAGAGATTGTTGCTAGAAGAGCAATCTCAAGCAGAATCTTAGCTACAATTCCTCACAGGGTGCTTTTCCTTTGGATCTTTTATTCTGTCACTAAGACGTAACACTGTTCTTTCAAATCTTAGTTTTTTTCTTCAACAAAACAAGGAGATGGTGCAGATAGCCTCTCAGACATTCTGGTTCCAGGGTAATGTAACATCTTTAGCATTCCTGCATTAAAACGTTGACTTCATGGTATCTCTGGGAAAGAAGCAAGTTGGTTCCTGTTTCCTAGATCTGGCAAGCCAGGAGCTTCGGGGTAGCGTGCTGAGTAGACACATGCAAACAACTGGGAACAAGAAATGTGGGTTAGAGTTCCAGGGAACGTCAGCGTGTAACCTAAGAGACATCAAAGAGACTCCTCGAACTGTGTTTTAAACAGATCACATAAAGCCATTCTCCCAGCGAGTTTATAAAGTAGGTAGTGTCCTCTCCATTACAAAACGAAGCTGAAGATTAGACAGACACCAAAAGTGCCTTGCCCAAGATGGCCCAGCCAGTGAGCCATACAGATAGGCTTCACATCCAGCTCGTTCAACCCCAAAGCCTACGCACATTTCACAACCTGCGCCTCTATAAGTATCTGTTATCTCACTGCAGTCTCTCGGCAAGCCTAGGAGGTGGTTATCGTTGTCTGCATACACAGATGAGGCAAGCGAGACTTAAAGTGGGGAGGTGACTCGCTAGGTGACCCGTGCGCAGCCCAGCACCTCCTCCTGCTAGCTGGGGCGCGGGTCCCACCTTCCCGGGACGCAGCCCACGCGCAGCCGGGCAGCGAACTACACTTCCCGGCAGGACGCGCCGCGCGCACGCGCACCCGGGCCTCCGCCATGGCGACAGTGCTGTCCAGGGCGCTCAAGCTCCCGGGTAAGGAGTCGCAGCCTCGCGACCACCCTGCCTTCGCCGGGGCTGGGGGTGACAGGGAGGCGAGGACCCGAGGGCGAGGCTGGTCCGGGACTGTCCCCAACCTCCGAGGGCTGCGGGGCCCTGAGGCGAGCGGCTGCAGCGCCCGGCTGGGGTCCGGGCGCCGCCAGGGGGCGGGAGGGGCGCTGCCAGGCGGGGGCGCAGGGCGAGCGGGGTGGCGCTCGGGGAAGGTGGCCCGGAGCGAGCCCGCGGCGGCGGCGGTGACTGCAGCGGAGCGCGTGGCTTGGCGGTCCCCAAGGGGGTGCTGGTGAGGGGAGCATCCTTCAGCGAGAGCCGAGGACCAGGTACCGCAGCTCCTTCTCTTGGGCTGGAGCTGGGCGGGCGCCGGGGGCTGCAGCACGGGAAATGACCCTGCGTGGAGCAGTCTCCCCGTAATGACAGCGTGACGCAGCTGAGAGCTAAGTGAGACAGGCATTTGCCTTCTTACTAAGACAGGAAAATTAAGAGAATGGCTGATTGAATTGCCTAGGGTCATTCAAGCAGTATTGGAGAACCCTGGTCTTGAATATTAGGGGTGTTTGGGATCTGGATCCTGAGCTTTTGACTACTTAGACTCTGGTTGCTAAACAGAAGCGTGGGAAATGACTTGGCACTTACTTGTAAACTGCCTATAAAGTATAGAATATTCTTTTAGGAACTGCTAGTGGTGATGATACCTTCTAGAGGTGATTCAGTACTTTGGGCAGCAGCTCTAAGTTTTTTCCCCTCTTTTGTCTCTAAACTGCTAGAATAGGACCGTACTGTTAGAAATTTGCTATTTTAATACAGAGAATATTTATTTTGTCCAAGTAAATTTTAAACACTTCGGCTTTAAAAAATTTTATAGCTCCATATAAAATTTAAACATTAATTTACTAGCATTTATTTGCTGATAACTTAAAATGTTTGAGGGAAAGGTAGTTGCTTTCCCTGGCACTCCCGCCACCTGCCAGGGTCTCATTTTACAACTCAGGCTGGCCTTGAACTCATGGCAGTCCTCCTGCCTCAGTCTCCCAACTGCTGAGTTTACAGACATAGGCCACCCGACTAGGCTCCCTGGCATTGTAGAAAGGGCTAGATGGGTGACTGGTGGAGACCTAGCAGGAGACTGCCAGTAAGCTGCAAGGTCCTTATTGTCAAGGAGCTTCCAGTCTGTTGCAGTGAGACAAGCCTTGTGCCTTGGGTGACTTTGGGTTGGATATGAATTTGCATTCCTGTCTTGGACTTCATAACTCCAGACAGATTTTTTTTTTCCTCATAGGCTCATTAGGGCGTGGCTGGGAAATTGATAATATCTATTTTGGAATGTGTACCTAATACGGTATTGGAATTAAATGAGAGACCTGCCCCTTTACCTGCAGGATTAGCCTACTTTGGAAAGAGTGGCCTTAGGATAGGATGATATCTGTTCAAATGTCAGACATACTTAGCTTGCTTTCCTCCTCCTCCTCCCTCTCTTCTTCCCTCTTCTTCTTCGTTTTTCATCTTTGTGTTATTTCAGCAAAACTGTTATGCTCTGAGGATGAGAATGCAAGAAAATCTTGATTTAGAAATGTTTCTGATCTTTTGTGATCTCCCATCCTGAGCTGTGACATTTGTAGTTTCCTGGAGTATTCAGTAGTAGTGTCTTGGTCAGCTGCTAGCAGAGGTAAAGGATCCCATAGCTCAGTCCTTGGGCCTGTGTCTGGACATAACTTGACTCTGAGATGTGAGGTGTGATGGATACTGTTTTAGGCCTGGATATATTAACCATATGTTCTTTTGTGTGATGTAGCCCCCCCCTCCCTCTCCAGCTGTACTTTTTTCTGGTTTCTCTTCTTCTTTCTCCGCTCTACCCACAATACAATTTTGGGTCTTTCTGATAGATAGACATTGCTATCTTATGGCTGCTGTTGGATATCCTGTGACTGGGGCTATGAGCCTGTGGTCCTGCCTGGGTCATGTTACCCTGGCTAGCATCTTCTTTGTTTTTCTGTGTGAAAAAGGCAGAATGGAATGATGGCTAAGAGCAGGATACAGGCTCAGGTTCAAATCCAGGATTCACCTGCGAGGCTGCTTAATCACTTTAGGCTTTAGGTTCCTTGTCAGTAATCATGGTGTTATTACGGAACACTCGCTATGCCACACGCTGCATTCCATACTTATTGCACAGGGTTATTTGGAATACTACAAGGGATGGACGTGCTTAACTTCTGACATGCTAACTGTTGTTACTATTATTAACAGTAGCATCGCAATCGTTTGTGAATTTGGTACCTGAAGGAAGGGCTGATACAATTGCCCCTGCTGACAGACCTCAACAACCTGCTAATGAAAGAGCAGTTGCTGGGGATGTAGTTCTTATTCTAGAATCCTTTCCCTAAGCCCAGGAAGGAAAGATGGTTGGCTCACACATGTGATGTGAGGTTAATTAGTAACAAAAGAACACTATGACATTCATAAAGCCTGTGGAGCAACTTATCTCTTAAGTATATTTAAGTATATTTTTAGGTCATTTTAAAGATTGAAGGGCAAACACTGAAGGCAGTAACAGAGCATAATGTTATTGTTACAGTTTCTTTTATTACTTATGATTTAGAGGGATTGTGCCTCTGGATAAACTAATCTATGATATGAATTATTTACCCTTAGTTACAGTTATATTTTCCCTAGTATATGTATAGTGTATATTATAGTGTAGTGTACGTTATAGAGTAGTATATGTTTTAGTATATTTTCCTGGAAACTTTTGAAAATGGCATAATAGTATTTTTAGGACTTTTTTAAAAAAGTGAATTCCTCTGTACCATGCTAGAAATGATATTTAGTTGGCATCTTCCCTCTCCCTTGGAGGAAAAGCAGTGTAGAAGTCTCGTTTGTATTGGTACATTAGGAAATAAATGCCTTCTTGTGTATTCTTTTCAAATGTTTTATTGATTAAAAACCTGCAATCTTTTGAAGAAATGGTTGGGGGAAAAAAACAAAAAACAAAAAAACCTGCAATCAGCAGAGATGCGAGCACTCGAGTGGTAAGTGCTCCCAACTTTGAAGCCTGGAGTCGACAGCTCGCTTCTCAGCCTGTGATCTAAGGCAAGTCAGACAACTTCTTTATAATTTTTCTTGTCTCTGCAAATACACAGAAAAATTATTTGGGACTTCTGTAGTCAAACCACGCAATCTATAATAGTTAAGACGAGATTTGTTTTTGCAGTAGCTGAAAAAAAGTGTATTGGTATAAAAGTAAATATTTATCAAACTGCAAAAATTGGTCATCTTGATCTTCTATGCTCTTTTAAAGGAAGGTACAGCAAACACTATGGTTTCTCTGACTTCATGTATCTTGCCTGTATACTTCAGAAATGTCGCGGCCAGGTCAGAGTCCTGGGACCTCACACAACACGCTTTTAGATTGTGCTTCACTATCTTTTGTGTGTTGCTGTGGAAAAGTCAGCCTGGTTTTGTTCCCATCATTAGAGACTTGATTCTTTTTTGTTCTTTGTTGTTGGAGGTATGTTTGTACTAGGATATGCTTCATTATTGATTATTCTGTATTGTATATTTTTGACCTTTACCTGCTCTTTACTGCAAAGTTTTAGGTCTTGCTTTAGCTTTATTGCAGGTATTTTTTGGTAACTCCTATTTTTGTTCGTTTTGTTTTTGAGACAGGGTCTCTCTCTATAGTTCAAACTGGCTTTGAACTCACTATATAGACCAGAATCCTCCTGCCTCAGCCTCCTAAGGGCTGGCTAACATACCTGACTTGTTTCTCCTTTATTTTGAAGTAAATTTTATTGTTACATTTTAGATACTTACATATAATGACCACATTTCTCATAGGGAATTTGTACCCATGCATGATATATCTTAATTCTTCTTTCTTTTTCTTTCCTTCCCATTTCCCACCATTCCCTTCCTTTCAATATTGTTATTGGTTCTCTTTAGTTGGATATGCTAACCTTTGTTCTCTGTATCTGTCTAGTTCCTTGTTTTGGTACTAGGAATTGAACTCAGGACCTTGCACTTGCCAGGCAAGCACTTATGCTGCTGAGATATATTCCTGGCCCTATCTAGTTCTTTCTTGCCTTTTAAAATGCCTTGTTCATCAGGCATGGTGGCCCATGTCTATAATCCCAGCACTTGGGAGGCTGAGGTAGGAAGATCACTATAAGTTTGAGCCAACCTAGGTTACACAGTGATATGAAAGTAAGCCTAAAATATATAGCGAGACTCCATCTCAAAAAACAAAACAAAAAACCCCCCAAAACCCCCAAACAAACCCCTCCAAAACCTTGTTTATTTCTGTGAGAACGTAGAGGTAGGCACTGCTGTCTAGAACATGAAAGTCAGTAGTATGTCTATCTTGAGAGTTGTTACAGAGATTCCAAGAGATTTAAAAGGGTTTGGGAGTGTTTCTAATAAATGCTCAAAATTTCCAGTCTTCGTGTTATTTCATTTTGCTTACATTGTCACTGCTGTATGCTTAATGTTGCTTAATCTGATTCCAGTAAGGATTTCTTTTCTAAAACAGCTTTATTATCGTCATTGCTTGTTTATTTTCTTTTTTTTTCTACTGAGCTGCCAGGAAATGTTATATCTTTCTGTGAGCCCTTATTTCAGAGAAGACCATTTTCTTTAATTTCCTGGGCTCCCCAGGGAAGCCGCTGTTCATTATTTTTTCCACCTGATGGTACAAATGGTGCAGCTTTGACTCTTCAGCTGATTTTGTTTGCTGTGTCTTATCGTCACCTCATTCTTGGATACTTGTAGAACTTTGTGGTATTTTGTGGAATGAATGCTGATACTTCTTTCTGATTGTTATTGATATTTAAATGTCAGTAGTTGTTTTATAAAGAGCTGTTGGCTGGCACATGGGACTGAGGCAGGGGCGGGGGTGGGGGCAGTGAGCTGGGCCAGCGGGAAGCTAGGATTTCCTGCAGGCCTGCTAACTGAGACCTCTTTCCCCAGCAGCCTCTGTGGCTGTCTCTATTCCGGGAGAATGCTGGTTTATCATTGGGCCTCAAGTGCTGATAAAGCCTTTGATTCTCTTTGTTTGTTATGTGGGTTTTCAACCTGTTGCCTCTGAACTTCAAATTTGCCTTTGTTATCTGATCTGTGAAAGCTGATCTGGACTTTAAAATGCCAAGTTTATTTTTCTTTGGTTACTCTTCTTTCGCCATAGGGTACCTTTAAGTTATCTTCCATCTGTATATTTACTTTCCTGTGATGATTAATAATTTTTTTTTTTTTTTTTTGCATTGAAGTATCTTCTTCAAATTACTGTCTGGTTCCTGTATCCTCAGGAGGTATAATTTGTCCAAACAAACAAAGAACAACAAAAAACAGAACCAGCCTCTTCAGACCTTGCCTATGCTTGTGGTTACTTTTTTATTCTCCATATTAAAAGGTTGCTGCTTGTAAAGATGTCAGTTTACACTTTTTCTCCTTGCATATATGATGTGGAATGGTGCTCACAAGCATCACTGTGACCCTAGACTTTGTCTTTCCTAGCAAAAAAATTAACTGGTCAAGCTTTGTGAAACAGGAAGGTAGTACACCTTGTCAAAGCAAATGGATTCTGCTCGATTGCATGGGTTTAAATCCTAGCTTTTCTTCTTGGTACTTCTGTAATCTTAGGCAATTTACCTCTGTATGTTTTAGTTTACTTACTGATAAAGTAGGAATAATAATACCTAGCATGTAGGGTTGTTGTGAGGACTGAATGAATTAGTATATGTAAAACGCTTGGACCAGTGCTTGGGGTGGTAAGCACAACACATTTCCAGCTGTTCCATTGTCATCAATTCTGTGAACTCTGTTCTTTGCTGAAGATTTGCAGATGTATGGGCCTACTTTTATGTTCTTTCCTCAATTAAATACAGGTCTCACCATGTATGAGAACTGAACAATTTCTCTTTTTCTCCTACCCTGGTTTTGGGGGGAACTAGTGTGACAGAAGTGCCATTCTATACCACCATTAATTATAGGGGTGTAATCCTTCTAAAAGGACCAGTTCAACAGCTCCCCTCCCCAAAGAGTGTTTGCAAGTTATTTGTATAGATTTATTAGTGATTTTCTACATTTCTGTAGTATATGTAACCCAGTTTTCTTTCTTCCTCCCTGTGTATACAATAATGAATTTCCTTTAAATATTTTGTGCCAGTATTTTATTAATGATTTCACTTTGGCAAAGGTGCTGCTTTAGGTTATGTTTGTTGTAAGGTGTACACTGACAAGCACGATTGAATAAAGTAGATGTTGATGCTAAAATTTTACCTTGGTGTTAAAAGTCCTGTTGCACAAAATTATAAGATGGCTTGAATGTGTGTTAAAAGTGCTTAGGAGTTTTAGTTGAATCAGTAGTGTGATGGACTGCCCAGAAAGCCACCACGATTTTGGATTGCTGTGGTTGAACTATAACTTACTCTTTGGAATCACCAGAGCCCAGTTCTGTCCTCCCTTTCTCTGGTTTGTGCCCTGGGATCACATCCAGTTCTGAGGAAAACACACCTTAAAAAACACTGACATGTCACTTTGTGTCTGAGGAGAGTGACCAGGATGTTAAGGCCACCTGAAACAAAAGGCTTTGTTAAGCACTAGGTTGAAAGAAGTGAAGATGTTTAACTTGGAGATGCAAAGAAGGCCGGCCAAAAAAATTTGGGCAAATTATTGACAACCATAGTAATGGCAGTGAAATTAGTAGAAGCTTGAAGTCATTGAGTGACCATAAGCCAGGCACTAAGAACAATCAACGTATTATCTTATTTAATCCTCGTAAAAATCCTCTGAGACAGGATTCCATTTCATCCCTCAATAGGGAAATTGAGGTGCAATGAAGTTAAGAAATTTGAGGTCACACGGTTAACAAGAGGGCCAAGATTTGTCTTTTGTCTTACTGTGAAAACTGGAGCTCTTAAATTCTTAAATAGTGGTTCTGCTATTTAAAGCTATGTAAAAGGACTTGAATGTGAAGAGGTAGCTATGCAGAAGCATATTCTTGACTCAGAGTAAAGCACTGTTTTCTAGACTGTGGGCCGGTGGATCCTCTAGTTCTGCTCACTTTCAGGTGCGTGCTAAGTGGCTGCTGGGTGTTTGTAAAGACACTTGTAAATTAGGAATAGGGTTGGCAGGGGATTATATGATCTTTAAAACCTCTTCTAACTGAGGGTTTGGGGGTCTTGCACATGTTTGCCTCTTTGTCAGATATATTTAAATTTTAAAAAAAAATTGTACGAAACATAGATACCATAAAATTTACCATCGTAACCATTTCAAGTATATAATTCAAGATTATATATATTTACCTTATTGTGAAGTTTATGTAGAACTTTTTTATCTTGTAAAAGTAAAATTCTGTACCAACTAAACAACCACCACCAATTTCCTCCCGATCTGAGAAATCACCATTCTGTTTTCTGTTTCTGTGAATCTGACTGCTCTAACTGCCTCATGGAAGTGGAATCATCCTATGTATTTTCTCATATCTGGCTTGTTTCACTCTGTATGATGTCCTTGGTCTTCATCCATGTTGTACCATGTGCCAGCATTTGCTTCCTTTTTAAGGCCACACAGTAATACATGGTGTATGTGTCCCATGTTTTACTTATCATCTCAGGTATATTTTAATTAAAAACAAAACAACCAACCACTTAAAGTCTTGGAGTTGATGTTATAGTAACGGTTTATGGCTCTGTATGCCAATTATATATTGCATTACCTGAGATGTATATAGAATGGTGTACTTTAATTAACAGAATTATTTGCATCATATAGTAGGACTGTACATTATAGGAGATCAGCCTGCACCTGTGCTGACCTGTTCTGGAAGTACTGTTTTGAGTTAAATTCCTAATAATCCATTTATTTTCTTAAAACATATGCCTTTAAAAATAAAACTCAATCGCTATTGGACAAATGAATAGCTTTGAAATGAAAATAAAGAGAAATTTCTGGTTGTTAGAGTTCCGTATTACTTAATATTATCCATGGGCTTTTTTGGTAGAATGTTTAATGCCATAAAATAATTCTGTGGAACATTGCTATTTTAAAATCAAAATTTGTCTTTCTGTGTCCCAAATACTAAACTTTTAGACTAAAGGTTTTCCTCTCCATTTCTGGCTTCCATATTTTGATTTATTGCTTCATTTCTGGTGTTGAGCAAACTGAGAAGTGGTTTGGGTAGTGACATTACTGAGTGACCCAGAAGCAGAGATTGGCATCAAGAGTTTTCGTTCCTGTTAGCCAAATTGAGTGTGTGTGTGTGTGTGTGTATGTGTGTGTGTGTGTGTGTGTGTATTTAATTGGCTTCTGAACAAAAGATTTAACAATAGTGTTTACATTAACAGCAGCTTGTAGGTAAATTTCCAAGAGAAGGCAATTTTTATTGGTTATGACATAAAAGGCATGAAATCATTTAGTCATTGGCAGTGCGGGCCAGAGGTTGGCATAAGAGATGCATGTAAACTGTCTTGTAATTTCTATCTTTCAGTCCTTCCAAATCATTGTAGAGTTCACATAAAAACAGTGCTTACTTGCACACAGCTTTCAACAAGTCTTCTACCACTGCTGGCCTGCTGAGTTACCACCTCTCCAGGGTACTTGCTTAGAACAGCCTGAAAGGTAAACACTGTACTGCAAGATGCACTGGAAGGACATTCAGACCACAGGACAATTTGAAAAGTGCCATTTCAGTAAAATCTCCAGATGACATTTAGTGTTCTGCTTTCTAAATTCCCATAGAAACAATTGGGAACCCGTGCCTAGAACCATGAGGAGCAATGTACAGAGCAGAATTGTTCTAGATATTTCCCAGGAAAGATGAGGGGGATCATAGATCTAAGAAACCAAAGGCAAAAATACATGTTAGGTATGTGGTAAGTTGATGAAAGAGCGGTAAGTTTTTATCACATAAATGAGAATGAAGCAAATTAAGAAAGCTCTTGTAAGACTGAAGATATTTGAAATTTGCTTGTCTTCTTTACAATTTTTTTTTGATGGTGCTAGAGATTGAATCCATGGACATGTTGTCTGTCTGTCTTTCTTTCATTCTTTCATCTATCTTTCTATCTATCTATCTAGAGGTGTTCAGGCTAACTTTGAACTTCTGATCCTCCTTCCTCAGTCTCCCAAGTCGTTGGCATTATAAGCATGGACCACTGCATGTGGCTTAATTGACACATGTAATTGTACATATTTATAGGGTACAGTGTGACATTTCTCTACATATATACAAGGTGTAATGATCAGATCAAGGTAATTGGCATAGTTATCACCTGATTTTTCGTTTCTTAGTGTGGGGAGCATTTAAAATCTTCTCTGTTAGTTGTTTTGAAGTATTTTAATAATTGTTGTCAAACAATTAACTTACTTTGCCTAAGAATGCTAGGGGCATTGCTTCAGTCCAGTTTCATCCCTCTGTCTGCTAAACCATCCTTTTTCTCTCCCTGCTCTCCCCCCATCCTTCTAAGCCTTTTGTAAGCATTATTCTATTCTTTACTTCTGTGGGATCAACTTTTTAGTTTCCACATATAAGTGAAGATACAAAATACTTGTCTTTCTGTTTCTAAATTATTTTATTTAACATGATTTCCATTTCCTCCATATTGCTGCATCCTTTTCAGTTTTTCTAACCTGCAGTGCAGGCAATAATTCTGAAGTATTGTGCTCAGCACCCCCTTCCATTGTCCCCTTTATCCTTTGCACCCATTTTACAGATAGCCACCAAGGTCCAAGCTTCATGTTAACTCACTATTTTTGTTTGTTTGTTTATTGTCACTTTCCCTGTTTCCCTAGGTTTGCAGTTGCTATGATTTGGTGAGGGTTTCTCCTTGCTAGTTCTCCTTGACACTGTCCTGTTTTCTCAGGAAAGAAGAGCCCAGACCTCGGGGAGTACGATCCCCTGACCCAGGCTGACAGCGACGAGAGCGAAGATGATCTTGTGCTTAACTTGCAGCAGAAGAACGGAGGGGTCAAAAATGGGAAGAGTCCGCTGGGAGAAGCACCAGAGCCTGACTCTGATGTGGAGGTTGCCGGGCCTGCAAAGCCACATCTTTCTGAAGTCACCACCGAGGGCTACCCCTCGGAGCCCCTCGGGGGCCTGGAGCAGAAGGCGACCTCCTCCCTCGTGTCCTACGTGCGCACATCCGTCTTCCTGCTGACACTGGGGATCTCCATGATCCTGGTGCTCCTCTGTGCTTTCCTCATCCCCTGTCCCCCCAGAGACCTGCACAGCACTTGGCGTCGCCGCTTGGGCTCCCAGAGAGGTGAGTGGCAGGATTTTCTGTGCTAGTTCTGTGAAATTATCTGATTGAGTTTTCCCTCCAAATCTTAAAAACGAATGTGTATTGCACAGTACTGTACCCACCCCTGCATGCATGGAAGTGGTTAGGAGGTTAAGATTTGAAAGAAGACAAGTGGGTGGGTGGCTGCACCTGTCAGCACGGTGTTGTGTTAGTGCAGGTTTTGGATGCAGAGAGGATGGGGTGTTGGCTTGCTGGGTTCCTGTGATTCAGGGGAGCAAACACTGCAGCAGGTGATGAAAAGTTGTTATTTACAGAGGAAAGTAAAGTTGGGGGGGGTCCCTTCAGGCCCTCTTTGATTATACAAGCCTGGCCTACTTAGAATAATTTTGTTTCATGTGGAAGGCAGTTGCTGGTTTTTGTTTCTTGTTTTTTCTTGGTCTCAGCAGTTAGGGTGGTGCTGCCCGAGTGAAGCCAGCTTTTTATCTCCGAAACCTCTTAGTCTGGAATGGGGATTGCGTTCCAGCTATGCTAAGCAGTTGTCCTCTGTGAGCTGGATTAGGCTGTCCCCAGGCACCTCCTGTCATCTTGACAGGGAGGGGCTTTTTCTCTGCTGCTTCTCCGATCCTGGTTGAATTAGATTCTGGTGGGCTCAGTGTTATCGTCTTTGGGTATCTTAAGGCAGACGTAGTTTACATATGTGATTTTTATATAAAGTGTGAAGGCTGATAACAAATTCGTGGTGAATCCAACACCCAGTTTGAGAGGTAGAACATATTGCCAAGTGAGATAAACCAGAGAAAAATAAATATGACATGGTTTCTCTTGTATGAGAAACCCAAACGATAAAAAACATAAACATAAAAATACAAAAAATTTAAAGAACAAAGTAGAAAGAGATTTTAGGAAACAGGGAAGTAGAATTTGTAGAGATAGGGAAGGGAGAAGGTAAGAGGGAAGTAACAATGACTAAAATGTGATGTGTATATGTACCAGTTTTCCAAGATGCATGATATTATGGTATTACTGTGGGGGCTGAGGCAGGAAGAGCTCATGTCTGAGCCTAACCTGGGCAGTTTGACTTGCTGAGATGCTGAGAAAAATAAAATATAAGAAGTACTGGGGATGTAGTTCAGGGCAAAGGCCCTGGTTTCAATCCCCACTGCCAAAGGAGATGGAGGAAGACAAAAAGCAATCGCGCATTATGAAGCCCTCTATAGTCTCCTTCGTGTTCCTCCTGACTGTATCCACCTCTGCTTCCGTGGGATTCTGCTCGCCTGAATTTTGTGTTGATTATCCTTTGGCTAAATTTTACCTCAGTTACATGTGTCCAAAATAATCTGTTTATTAATTTTGTCTCTTTTATGAATTTTGCATAAATGTAGTCACATAGACTTGCTCTTTGTTCAACATGAGGTTTTGAAATAAAATTTTTGAGGTTAATCCCGTCTCTCCTGTGTTTATCTGGTATTTATTCAGTTTTACCACTGGCGAATCTTCCATGATATGAATATCCCATGACTGACTTATCCATTTTATTATTGATGAGCATTTCCATGGCTTCCAGGCTTTTTTTAAAATTTTATTTTAAAGTAAATGATGCTGCTAAGGACATTTTTTCGTGTCTCCTCATCCACTATAGAAGCAATTCCCTAAGGCATAATCCTCGGAGGGAGATTCCTGGGTCAGGCTGTGTGCGCGTTCATTCTTACTGGTTGATCTTCCAGAATGGTTTTGTCAGCTTACTCTTCCCTTGCAGTGTGTGAGTTCTCTCCAGATGTGGCCGGCACCCTCTGACTCCCACCTCGTGAGGGGGAGAGGCCCAACTTTGTCCTGTTGGTGGGGTGCAAGTCCAGCCTCCCCCTCTGCCCTGGGTCACCACCTGCCTCCTTAGAGCTGCAGGCTTCCCTTGTGAGTGGAGGGTTTTGGGACTGTAGGACGAGAGCCTTCTCTGTCCTGACTGTGGTGGGAGGGTAGGTACCTTGTCAGCCAGGACCAGGGAAGTAGGGCTCCCAGTTCAGCTGTCTGTCTCTGTCTCTGTCTGTCTGTCCGTCCGTCCATCTGTCTCTTTGTCTCTCTGTGTTGAGTGTGTGTATTTGGTCCAGGGCCATAGTTTTCTGTGTGCTAAGCACTTGGAGTGAACAGTCACTGTCTCAAACTTCTGCCTGGCCAGGCCACTCCTTCTCTGGGGCTTTGGCTAGAGAAGCCAGTATTTCCTAAGGTCCTTGGTTTGTACCTGTGACATTTCTTGGTTCCTGACTTCTTCAGCACCTCATCTGAGAAATATGAAGCCCCCCAGAAAACCCAGGGAACTCATCTGCCTTGTAATCCATCTGCCTTGCTATGTTTTTTTTATATATAATCTCCAGGGCTTTGAGATGACTGACAGCACCAAGGAGATACGGAAAAGTGTGTCTCTGCCATTTGCCTGGGAACCAGAAGCCTGCTTGGTCTTCATTGGTACTGGCAGTGTGATGTATTTGTCCCCTTTTGGTTATGGGCATGTACTTAAGCCCTTTTTGTTCCTTTATGTGTACATCAGGTGGGGACCTGTCTCCGCTAGAACTGTCTGATGTGAATGGAGACGGCCTTCGGGATGTGCTTCTTTCCTTTGTGACATCAAGGAACGGGAGTTCACCAGGTAAGGGATGCATCTGTCTGTGTCCACATTGAACACAAAGTTACCACACATCTGTCATATGAGTCTGATCAGAAAGTGCTTGCATGAAAATAGAGCCTAGTTCAAAAAACCAGAGAGAGCTATAGTTGAAAGGAACTTTCAGTGGTTGCCTAGGCCGCAGAAAAAACTGATCCCGAGAGGAAGTGGTTTGTCCATGTTAGTGCTTAGGTTTCTGGAGTTCCTCCATATGTTCTCTGTCGCCTCTTTGATCATAATGAATGCCTGTGGCCTGTATGGATGAACTTGCAGACGTGATCTGTATGTAAACCATTTATTACAATAAAAGGCATATTTTCTTAATCTCTGCTTATGAACACTCTCCCTTGCTTCAAAAATACTTATCCTATCACTTTTTCTGATTTCAGAAGTAGTTTTAAAGGTCTTTCATGAGTGTCTTTAGTTGTTCTGTCATGGAGGCTTTGATGTCCTGGTTTGATTCTAAATATTTACTTTGCATGGTCACTTGGATTTGGGAAATGATCCAAAAGTCATATGATACCCAGGCTGGTGAATAAGGTGGATGACACACTAATGGTTTTACAAGCCTACCTTTCCATTGGCTGGCACTCAGCAGCAGCATTCACTATATTTTTGATAATGCCTTGTACAGACACTTATCAAAGAACTATTTCAGCCGGGTGTGGTGGCTCATGCCTGTAATCCCAGTACTTAGGAGTCTGAGGCAGGAGGATCGTTTCGAGTTTGAGACCAGCCTGGGCTATAAAGTGAGCTCCATGCCAGCCTGAACTGCATAGTGAGACCCTGTCTCAAAAAGACAAGAAAAAAATTGAACCAAAACAAAACAAAAATCCTTCAAGAACAATGAGTTAAGTGTGTTCAAAGTGAGGGGGAATATTTTGAGGAGGTTTAATGGAAGTGTTTAAAACAATTTTTTTTTGAGACAGGGCCTGGTTTTGTAGTGCAGACTGGCCCTGAACTGACTGTATAGCCCAGGCTGGTCTTGAACTTGCATCGATCTTCCTGCCTCAGCCTCTTAAATGCTGAGATTACAGGTGTGCACTATCATGCCTGGTGATGGCAGTGTCTTCTCCTGAATTTTGAAAATGTAAACTTTCACTGTATGTTTTGATCACCCCTTGTACACATCTCTGCACGCATGTGTTCTGGCTGGGTGCTGTCTTCTTCCCCTTTGATTTTCATGCCTGAATATCCTGCCCTGTGCTTGGAGGCTGGCCTGTGTATCTGGATCTCTCCACCCCCACCATGTCTTTGTAGCCTCATTAAATCTTCCACTGCTTGCCCTGAGGACCCTGCTTCTGAGACCCTGGCTGTTACACTTGTCAGCTGTGGAAACACATAAGCAAAAGCACTTTCTGCTTTCAGCCTAGGGAAACAGGGGCTCTGGTTCATCCTGCAGCCTCTGTTAAAGTGGCATTAATTGCATTCTTCCAGCTGACACAAGAGCTGTAGTTGTAGGCCATGAATGCCCTGAGAGATAACTTGTTACTCACTTCAGCCTTGGAATAAGCATGGGGGTATATTTTAGAGATTTCTAAACTGTGCACACCTTTGACACAATTAGAAATACCTTGCTGGGGTTTTAGCAGTGTATAGAAGGAATTTAGGCAGAGCTCAGTGACGGAGAAAAACTGCTGCCTATTCTTTTCATATAATTGGGCCTTGACTACATTTCTTTCCTGCCTGTGGCTCATTGATTAACCTTTTAAGTAGATTTCCCTCACCTATGTTTACATAGAGGAGTATTTTAGTCAGATGTTATTTTGCATGTGTTGCTGCTTATGGAATGCATAATGGAAAGACTGTGGGTTTGGACACCAGATGGACCAGCCTGATTTGCCCACAGATTGTTAAAGTAAGAATATAACCTATCATACAGTGCTGTCTATGTGCACTGTTGCAAGTGTGGAATATGTGAACGAATTTATTCCTCAACACAGTCCTATGCGGTAGGCTAATCTTACTGCCCCCCTTTATCAGATAAGAAAACTGATGGGTGGTGAGGTTAAGAAACTTCTGAAGAGTCCCTTAGCTGGTGAATGGTAGAGCTGGGATTCAGATCCAGGAGTCACGCTCTGGAGTTTATGTCCTATGCCTTAGGCCAAGTGCCCAAACCCACAAAGCTCTGTGCCACCGGATGTAGCAGGATTGGGATTCTAATGCATTTCTGCATTGGTCCGTCCATCCCTTCAGGGGCCAGGAATCAGTGCTGACTATGGCAGGTGCTCGGCTTGTCTCAGGGCTGTACAGAGACCTTACCAAGAGAAGAACATGCTTTGCCTCAAGGAACTGAGGGCTATTGGGGAGGGGGTGACCCTTTAGTACCCTGGAAAATGAACCAGAGGTGCTTAGGGGATCAGAAAGGCCCTTAAGTAGAAAGGTGGCACAGACTAATCATAGCTTCCTTGAGACATCTGGAAGCCAGTTTGGGTACCACTGTTTGTCCTGTGCAGTTTCTTCTGGCACCAAGGTCTGGAACAGGGGACCATAGTCTGCCACTTGTGTTTAGGTTGTATAGTCAGTCATAGTGAAATTAGGTAGAACAAAGCTATAAAGCTTATGTTGGCTTCCCTGTTTTAGTTGTCGCAGGGAGTATGTGAGATGAGTCAAGGTGTCTGTGCCCTGAAAGTGAAAGGAAGCCTGGCAAGAGTATTATTCTGAGTGTTTAGTCACATAAAACCTTGTTTACTACGGAGGTGAGCACTCTGGTTCCCTAGCAGCTGTCCTCAGCCCTTGGAATTGTTTTTCCAAGTAATCTTTCGTGCCGGGGACCAAAGTAGCTGATTCCCAGGAGCTCAGGACCTATACCTACTGCTTTTCCTGTAATTTTCAGGTTTATTTTAAAAGAGATTGTTTTTCTCTTCTTAGGCAGCATTTGCTACAGGTGATGATGATTCAGGTGTTTTGCTCTCTGCTCTGCATGTATTCTGGGTCAGGCTGGTGTTTCTGAGCATACCTTTTCCTCCTGGCTTTTGGTTCCCAACAACCATTTGCCATATGCTGGGTTTTGCTCTCTCTTTCATCCAGCAAACAGTTGGGTACAATGTGTCAGGCATTTGCAGGGTACTGAGGGTATAGGAATGAGAGAGGCAGTCGTTACTCTGAAGGACATCACTGTTAGTGGGTTCTGTGGTGTCAGACAGGCAAGCTATGCTGGGAAGGGTGAGAAAGCGGAGGTTCAGTGAGGCAGTCGCCGCGTCCTGTCTGACATGGGAGGTGTGTCGGCAGAGGCGAGAGCCACTCCGTATTCAGACCTCACTGACACCAACACACGGAGCTGAACATGCACATGTGAGCTGCTGCCTCACCACCACGCACTCCCCGTCTCGTCTCCCCGCCTCCTGCTCTGCTCCACCTCTCATCTCCTCTGCCTCCTTCTCCTTCTCTCTGTCTGCTCTTAGGTGGCCCAGGACCAGCTGCAGACCTCGTGTGTCTCTCGGGGATGAATGGCAGCACGCTATGGTCCATTCCCCTCCCAGAAGAGGCCCAGGATATCACATGTTTGGATCTGATGCCAGGCAGTGTGGCTGAAATCATCTGTCTCGTGACTGGGACACGCAAGATGCTCAGCGCATTCAACGCAACGTCAGGTGAAGATCATTTGCTGCAAAAGGTCTTGGCTGTAATGAATTGTAATTTTGGATTCTAACAGGCTGGTGGGGAGGGGACTTTTCTGCTGTGGCAGATGGAAAGTCTGATTTGCTACCCTGGAAGGTGGTTGTTAAGGGACTAAGATAAGAGGTTTGGCAGATTGAATGAATGGATCCGTGTTTCAACCTGTTTGTGATAAGATGGGGCTGAACTCAGAAACTAGCCGGACGCCTTTGGTTGTAAATTTTCTCCCTACTCTGTAGAAAAGACAGATGAAGTTTGTCCCTTCCTATTTGATATAAGTGAGTCCATGTGTCGATTTAGGCATTAATGAATTAATAGTATTTCTGTGAAGAAACAATGGCTTGTTGAGGCATGTTGGTTTGGCCTTTCAGCTTCTTATTGGGCTTAATGACAAAAGGGAAAAACCATCAAATATGATGAAGCCTCCTTATAGAATTAAAAGTACCCTGCCCGTGTGCTGGTTACCGCCTGGGAAAAAGTCAGCTACAGTGGCTTATGCCTATAGTCCCAGCTTCTTAGGGGCAAAGGCAGGAGGATGAGTTGAGCCCAGGAGTTCAAGATCAGCCTAGGTAACCTAAGTAGATCTTGTTTTGAAAGAACAACCTGCCCTCCCCCAAAAAACAGAAGGCCATGTTAGTGATCACCTACTTTGTTTTGCCCTAGGGAAAGTCATCTGGACGCTGAGCCCAAGCTCCCTGTCCAATGGCACCTTGGCTGCCCCCGTGGTGGTGCTGCCAGACGTGGATGAGGATGGCGTGAGAGATCTTGCGGTTCTGGCCATTGGGGAAACACAGGTATGGTCTCTGTTCACTGGTTTTTGTCTAATACAGAGAAAATTTTATTTTTCTTTATTGTAGTTCCTAATGTTATAAATGTCTGAAACTTTCTTTTTACAAAAGACAAAGTTTAAATCAATTCTCTTGGTTAGGTTGAGTGAGGAGAGAGCGTTGTGAACACATTTTCCCAGCCGTCTCATCAGGGTTCCATGGGTAGCGGTGTAGTGAGCTTTGGGTGTAGGGGGCACTGTGTCCACTGCCATGTGCAGCTCTGTGGTCTTGGGTGAGCCACGGGACCTACCCAAGCTCTGGTTCCTTCATGTGCAAAAAATCAGACTATTTCTTTTGGTTGTAGGTTTGCTATGAAAATTTGAGTTGAACACATTTCAGGTTCCTAAAGTAGAGCTTACCTTTTATATCTTTAAAGGTATTGTTAGTTTACTGTATTAAATATATTTAAATTTTACTTCAACTATAAAACAATGAGACCACCTGGTAAAAGGTTCATAAAGTATATATAGAAAAAAAATTTAAATAGCGGCATCCATATCCAAAGAAAGCGGAGTTATAGTCTACGCAGTAACAAGACAGACTGATTTGAGTATAGTACCTCTTAAGTGAGGTCTAGTTAGCTATCTGGATTCATCGCATTCTGGGAGGCTGAGGCAGGAAGATGGAAATTTGAGCCAATCTAGGCAACTTGGTGACTTAATGAGACTCTCTGTCTTTAAAAAAAGGGGGAGAGGTGGCGAGGGACATAGCTCAAAATGAAGGTGCTGAGTGCAAACCTTAGTACCACAAGAAAAAAAATCATCCTATTAATTATGGAGCTTGCCATCATATATACAAATAAAGTATTTTCGCCACATTGCAAGAAAGATTAAGTTAGTGAACAAAATCATCTCAATTTTAAGTTGTTAATCCTGAAGCACTTTTTAAAGCTTTTTTTTTTTCCTTTCCTTTTTTTTGTTGGTCATATAATTCAGGCTGGTCTTGGACTCACTTCTTAGCCCAAGGTGGCTGAGCACTCAGCAATCCTCTTGCCTCAGTTTCCCAAGCACTGGATTATAGACATGTACCACTGTGCCCACTTGTTTAGAGCTTATGTAAAAGTTTTTCTAAGACATTTTTCTCAGATTACCTGATCTTCCAAGGAAATGCTTGTGGACTAAAAATTCAACAAATGGCAAAATAAAAATAAATGTGGATATAGAAATGTGGGAACATGTGGGACAGATAATTTTGCCCCATTTGGTAGCTGCTTTTAATTTTAAAACAAAAGGCCTCATGTATACTTCAATTGGTTTTCTTCAACAAGCTGTTTGGTCTGGAATTGGACCAGAATCAAGAATTTAGAAATTATTCATGTAAATTGTTTTTTGTTTTAAGTATACTAGCCATTGTGAGTAAAGGGATGGGTTGAAGGAAATTTCAAATGTTACCTCAAGCAGGGAGAGATTTTTTATGAAAGTCCCAAAGAGGAAAGGCTGGGGAATTTCTCTCTAATGCAATTCTGGTCAGCACAGGCAGACCAAAGCACTGAATATGTTTTTATATCCTAAACAGATTTAAAGTCTTGGTCTTAATACTCCATCTCCTACTTGTTACGAAGGGTGGTGGAGGGGTTTAGAGTTCAGGCCATTAGGGACTCCCTGATAGTGAGGGGCTCCATTGGAAGAATCAGCTCCTTATCTGCTCATAAGCTAGTAGTGTGTTACCCAGCTTGCTTCTGAGAGCTTCTCATTAGCACGGTAGTGCACAGCCGTGGAAGACTCTCCATTCTGCTTGAAAAGTGACAAGCACTTCTAGGAAATTCTTGGAGAGATGATGAGTTTGGAGCAGCAGCTTTACCGTTGTTGTGATCTCTTTGCCCTTTTTATCAGCAACAGAGAACCTGAGGAAGCATTGAAGCTACACGCATGGGAGGGGATCTCTCACAGGAAGGAAACACCTTAGGCCTTTGACTTAAAGCCACTGCATTCTTAGGAGCTAGCTGGGGAGAACTGGATCAGGTTCAGGCTTAGTGGAAACCTTGTTGAGAATGTTGAGGGAAAGGACCTTAAAAACCAGTGTTCACCGTTCTCATATCACGCTGTGGTCTGATTTGATTCCAGACCTACTGCACTGGGCCCTCCTTGAGCGTGTGGGCAGACTGAGTGTCACTCATTGGTGAGGCAGCTGTTTCATTTCTGGTCAGCCCTAAAACTTCTGTCCTATTGCTGAGAAATGAGTTTTCTGATGGCCTCCACTCATTGTTCCAGTGTCAGTGCCATAGAATCTCTCCAAATGAGTCTAATCCCCAACCATGACAAAGCCCTTCGGCCATTGGCCTGGTCCCTCTAAACCTGTGACTTTCCCATAGTGTTTCTCCATCAGCAGGAGGTCAGAATATATATCTCCTTTACCCTCCTCTGTCCTCTATGTACCAATTTTTACATAGATTTTTATTCATCTTCCATCTTAAGGCCTCTTTGAATTTCAAGTTAATCATACAGCATAGTAGCCAGACCTCCTAGCTTTGTGATAAGCCTGAATTCTATTTGTTCAGATCTTTTGATAAGAATGAGCCAGTAGCAGAATGCTATGTCATTCCATTACACACCTCTCCCTAGGCTAGTTTTGACCTCATAAATACCTTTGTCTGCAACCCACATTTCTTTATTTTGTCCCTAAGAATTGATGGTGATAAATTTTGTCAAGATAATCAGCACAATTCTTATATTTCTCAACTGGTGACTCTATCCTCAAGAAAAATCTTGTAGAGCTGGGTTTAATAAACTCTGTTGAGAGTTGGCCTGGTGCTTGCTTTTATAAGTAAAGTTTTATTGGAATACATTCATGGCCATTCATCTTTTTGTTATCTATAACTGCTTTCGTGCTACATCAACAGAGTAGGACAGTTGCTATAGAGACATCTCTGTGGCACAGACTGAAATATTTACTGTCTGGGCCTTCATGGGAGAGGTTTGCTGTTCTCTGAGAATAAAGTTGAAAGTAGCCAGGCCAGACTTCTGATGAGATGATGGGGAAGCTCTGTTTTCTGTATTGATTCTACTTGGGGACAAACATTCCTGCGAGTTCTGGGAATGGAATTGGAGACGTGGGGTCAGTCAGATTATATTTAGCTCTAGGCTAGAACCTTATGCCTGAGCAGACTGTGTAGTCAGCAACGACTGTGCTCAGAGAAATTGTCTGCAGCAACCTAAGGTGGTTTTTATACATATGGACTATTTGCTTCATTTCTTACTTCCAGGGAAATAAGAGAGGCAGAGTTGGCTTTGTGCTTCTCAAATGAGGGAAACATTTCTGAGCCCTTAGCTGACACAGAGGCTGTTAGACTGGGAGTGGAAGGCTTTTACTGATGTGACCCTTCTTTCGTTTCTCAGCCGGATGTATACTTTCTGCTGGTGTCTGGCCAGACAGGGAACCCAGTGGGCCGACCTGTGAAGTACAGCATCGTGGGAGTGGGGAATCTGATTGGTCCTCAGGTGTACATCACAGCCGGTGGGGCTGTCTACATCCTGTTTGGCTTTGGTAAGAAGCAAGGCTGGTTTACACTGCTGCTCTCCACAGGTTTGGGCTGAGGCTTGCCTTGTAAGATGGGGTGAAAACCCGGAGGTTGCAGTGGTCAGCCCTTCCATTGCCTCCTATGCAGGAGTCTGTCTGTCCCTCCCTATGGTAGGTGGTTAACTCCACCTTCCCTACTGGCTTCTCTAGAGAGAAGATTCAGTCCAGTGCCTGCTTTACACTTCCCCACCCACTGCTGGTGGGACCAGCCCAAACAGGTTGTGTTAGATCCTTCTGATTGGGCTAGTCTTCTTTAACTCCCCACCCTACGATATTCTATTAAATTCAACTTCTCAGTGTTGGTTCTTCCTATGGTGCTAGGAAATGTACAAGCTGTCGCTCTGCGGGACATTTTTGTTCAGGCCCAAAATCGAGACAGCTCACCACCTTCTCTACAGATAGAAGAGCCAGAATGGGAGAAGCGGAGATCCGTCAACCTGTCTGAGCTCATTGACATATACAGGTAGGGCAGATGCCTGTCCTTGGTCCCAGTGAGTCTGTGAGCTCACGTGCTTGGTTGGCTTTGTTGGGCTGGTGAACGTGTGGGCAGGGTTCTGAGGCAAGCAGTACTGCCCTTAAACTGTCTTCTAATGTGGGAGATGTGACCTAGGAATTTTCTTTTCTTAGTCACATAAGGTGTTGTTGGTGTCTAGATGTTAGTGACTATCTGTATGATCACCTTAAATGTAGATTGCAGGAAAGGAAATTTTGACTAGGCTTCTGAATCAGTGTCATGACAGGGAGATAGATTTAGTTAAAACGATGGTTTATAAAGCTGTACGGATGTCTCCAACCAACTCTTTCTCTGTATTTTTCTGTTAGTTGACGAATCACTTTGACAGCAGCAGGCATTGTGGCCATGAAACCTTGTTTTTTGAATTCCTATTTAATTCTTGACTAAAAGCATATTCTGGTGGTAAGCAGTCCATTTTTACCCATTTTACCAAGTTTGGGTAATGATTTTGTTATTTTCTACCAGAACTTTCAAATCATTTTCTAGTGTTTTCTTACAAATTATCTCATTGTTTCAGTGAATTTGATAGGTATTAAATCAACTGGTCCCAGTGATTAGAGGAAGAAATAAGCGTGTTCCAGTAGTTTCTGTCCAAGCTTTTTGATTGTATTAGGCCTGCTGTCCCCGTCCCTGTTTTCCGTGCCACTGTCCTTGGCTATGTTACTTTTTCCCATGTATCCAGTGTAAGAGGCATTGGACCATAGCATGTTTCTTGTGAGTTCTTTTTGCCCTTGCATTGAATTTTCTAGGGGCTTTTTATTTCTAAGGATGAAAAAAAGATTAAGTGGGAATAGCTAGCACAGGGTTCCCTTGGTGAGACGTTTGGAAATGGATATGAGATTACAGGTGGCTCTGCATATCTGTGCACCTCCAGATTTGTGAATTCAACCACTTTTAGATTGGAAATACTAGGAAAAAGTTGAGTCTGTACTGAACACGTGCAGGTTTTTTTTCCTTGTCTTACTTCCTAAATAACATAACAACTATTTACATAGCATTTATATGGCACTAGGTATTGTAAATAACCCAGAGGTGATTTAAAGTGTACAGGAAATGTAGGTAATGGAAACACTATGTTGTTGTATGTAAGGGACGTGAACATCTGTGGATTTAGTATCTTCAGGGGATTCTGGATCCAATCCCCCACAGACATCGAAGGATCTGTGTATTTGGAGACAAATGTGCAGTGAGAAAAAAGGCCAAAATAAATGGATTCTGGAAACTCATTTATGCTAGAAACTAACTATTGGGGTCTTGTTTAACTCAGCGATGGTGTTGAGCTACTCCAGATGGTGAAGATGCCCGATTCCAACTGCAGCAACCTCCTGATTACAACCAGACAAGGCCTGATTCTGCTGCGAGGACAAAACCTTACACCTCACTGGACATTGAGCCTCCCTGGCCTGCACAGGTTGGCAGTTACTGTTTCAGTCCATTTTCCTACGTTTAAAAATTATGTAAATAATTGCTCGATACCTGTGGCTGGTGCAAAGGAAGAGAGGGAAGGTGTTCTACGTTCTCCTTGCTCACTGTTGATTGCTTCTTTGTCCTTTCTTGTAGCCAGCCTACTCCTGGGTATTTTACAGACGATCAGACATTAGACTTCCTTCTGCAGACACAGGAAGTAGTTGGGATGAAAAAGGTAAAAATCCCTGGGACACAAATCAAAGCGTATATAAAATATATACTTTGTGCCCAGCCCTTTGCTTGGCCTGTGTAAATTAAAAATATGGTCTCTTCTTTCAAAGAGTTCAAAGCCTAGCTGAATGGGTAAAATGAAAATTCACACTTCAATATTTGCATTGAATACTTTTTTTTATTGTCACTATTCTTTAATAAATATAACAACTATTTACCGTTACTTTGTATTATGTATTATATTAGGAGAGGAGTTAAGTGTATTGGAGGGTATGCATAGGATGTATGCAAATGCCACATACAGGGAGCAGGAGCATCCACTGATTTGGATATCCATGGGGGGTTCCCCCACAAATACCCAGGGAGGATTGCATGTGTATTATTCGAATATCTTGGCTGTTTCTCTTCTTTTTGTTTTGTGCACTCTCCGGCAACATTCACTGTCTTCTCTCCTGCAGATGATGGTGGTTGATGGTGACTCTGGCTCCATCGTTTGGAGTTACAGTGCTCCGTGCCACATGAAAGAAAGTCCGACCACCTCAGCAGTGACTTCAGAGCGGAAGTCTGTCTTCCTCTTTTGGGCAGAAGGGCTGTCAGCTGCCCCTCCCAATTCTGTGAGTGAGCCTGGGAGGTCCCTCTTTTGCTTTGCACATGACAGGGACTCTTCAGGGCTTACTGGGGTCTCCAGATGTCACTTGACTAGTCATCTTCTAAGGGTTTGGGGTAGAAACAACGTGAGAAAGCAGGAGCCACATTTCCCATCTTTGCCTTTTAGCCAAAAGATGTAAACACTGACTAGATCCGCTGACTACTCACAACCAACAGTGGGAGGCTGGATAAAGCATAAAAGTCCTCTCAAGTCCCTGGATCCAAATTCACAGATATCTCCTACATGCTGTGGTTGTTGAGGAGGAGAAATCAATCTGATAGGTCCAGAGTGGGCAGACAAAATCTTGCATGGGGATGGAGATTTGAGGGGAAAGAAGAGACCACAGATGTGGGCCTGGGGTGGGAGGCGGAGCTGTTGAGGAGGAGCATAGATTGGGCTCAGCTGAGTGATAGTGGGGGGAGTTGAGGATGAGAAGGTCTGACTGAAGGCAGATTTTAAAATGTTCTGCACGTTCTACTGCAGTGTTTTAGTAGGGCCGATGAGATGGTGCCACCCAAAAGAGGTGCCTTGGAATCTTTACTGAGCACTGCCCCCAACCTTTATTCCGCGCAACACTTCTGTGTGCCGGGCCCTGAGCTGTTTGTAGGCATCTAAGGATAATTGGAAGCAGTCTGGACTCTCTGGAGATGGCAGATGGCCCAGAGTAGGGGGAGCCTGATGCTTGCTGAGTCCTGAATTCATCACCATGTGTTCTCCTGACAAGTTATTTAACATTTCTGAGCCTCCCGTCTTTAATCCATTAATGAAGGTGCTAATCTGTCCCCTTATTTCGAGAATCAAATTTACCTAAAACCTGGATTATAGCTCTAGCTCTGCCATGCCCTAACATGTGGCCACAGGCAGTTTACCTAACATTTTAATTTCCTGGTTTCCTCATAGAATAAAATGAGGGGATTAGACCAGATGGCTCTCAGATATGAGCTTCTAAAAATAGCAGAACAAGGGCACGTTACAAATGTGCTATTGGAGGTACAGGGAAGAAGTGTGGATGGACATACACAAGCAGGGAGATACTGCTTTTGCTTGGGGGGACTGGGGAGCTGTTCATGAAGAAATGGCGCTCGTGTCGGGGATCTGAAGACAGGAAGTGCTTTGATGTGTGGAAACGAGAGCTAGACAGAGGAATAGGATTGGCAATGGGCAGGCAAATAAGCAAAGGGAGGCGTGCTGTTAGGGTGATAATCAGACGTTCCGGAAGCATAGGTGGGCAGTAAATAATTGCAGTTCAAGTCTGGAGAGGGAAGATTTTGTAAATAGTGTAAACCTTTGGTTTTCATGCTATGGATTTTGGGCTTTGTTCTGTAGGCAGTGAGGAAGGCATTTGGTTATTTTCTGGTCATCATAGTGGAACCGGGGATCTGTGCCCTCATACCTGGGTGTGTGGAGATGCCCTCTTCTGCCTCGTGGGCCTGCAGTGGGAGTGAGGTTGTGAGTCCTGTCCACTCTTCTTCTTGAGCCAGTATATCCCTGCCACAGCCTATCCCTGCACACAGTTCACACTGATGATGGTGGCCCTGTTAAGGACCTGATGCTTAGGCCTTGGAATTTGGGGTTTATAATTGATGATTTGCTTGTGTCAGATCAAATCTGCTCATTTGAGGAACTGAGAAGATTTTTGTAGTTTTTAACTCATTATTTGCAGTTGGCTTTGGCATCCAGTGAAATGAAAGCTCTTTGGCTCACACTGTGTTTTCAGAAGTAGATTTTTCTCTCCACAAGGCCCCACCTGCTGCAAGGAATGAATCAGCACCTGAGTTCTCTTGCAGGCAGAAGGAGGGTTATTCTCTACAGCATGTTCCTCTTGGGGCATGCACATTTCCTTTCTTCGCTTTTTTTCTTACAGTTTTTAGCTATAAATAGTGATTTGAAGAAGTTAGTGATGAGTCAGTGTTTTGAGCTCTTTGAAATGACATGTCTCCTGCACATGGGAGTTTCCTTCAGACGAATCCTTGCAGTTGGGAAGCAGAATTCAGCACCTGAGAGAATGAGTAATCACCATTTTCTCCCCGTCCATTTCTCCTGTCACATGTGGGAATGTAGAGTTACCTTTGCTCTTCCTTTTTGTGGCTTATCGTCAGGGTGTCATCCTAGGAGCTGATCCACCCAGCCTTTACCACCTTTACCTCCTGCATCCAACCTTCCCCTCCATCCTGCTGGACCTGGCCAATGCCACAGGCACAGTGACGGCCTCAAAGGGTGAGTGCCTGTGATGGGGGAGACGGGTCCATGTACACGGACACGGGGAGACTGTGTGTCGGCTGTGTGGAGGGACCCTCGCCCCATTAAGGCAAGGGCTGTGCTCAAGTGACGGCAGTAGCATGTTCTCTAATGTCCCTGAACCATGGGATAGTGCTGTTCTAAAAGGTGCCAAGGCAGGGGTACATGCAGCCCCCCAAAGTGGCAGGCATTTACTGGACCTCTCTTTATGCCAGGTCTGTGCCAGGGGCTGAGAAGACATATAGGAACAGGTTATTTTTGTTTTCTTCTTTTCCTTTTTTTTTTCTTTTAACCTTTTAGGGACATACAGTATGGAACTGAGGGACACGATGGGGGTAGAAGAGTTTTTCAGGGCATTGATTTACTGGAGCTTTTTGAGTAGTAAACATGCACACTGCATAGAAATTGGGATCATTGAACAGGTTTGGAGTCAATGAGAAAAATCAAAGAGGAAAAGAAAAAAATGCCCATAATCTGACTGCTCATGACCACCTTTGGAAGTGTTGTTCTACTGTATATGTGTATCTAAATAAGATAACGTAAAGCAAAATTGGGGTCATATATTAGACTCTTAATTCAGAAGAACAAAGACCTGAAATTCAGCCGCTGCCACCTGTTCCTCTGGTTTGTCTGCTGGTCTCCTCACAGATGCCGGCCTTGGGGCGGCTGCTGTTCCTGTTGGGGAGTAGCATGAGGGAAGCTGCATCTGGCCACATCTCCTTTGTGTCCCACTACTCCCTTGCCACTTGCAAACTTGCTTGCTTCTGGGTGAACAGCGGGAGAAACAGCTGACCTGGAACACTCAGGCATGCTGCCCACAGGCTGCAGGTGTAGTGAGCTCCTGTTTGTTTGCAGAATCCTCTGCGTGATCTAAATTAGCATATCAAAATATTCAGGGAATATTGAACAATATTATATAATAGTAATAAGAATCTTGAGACTTTTTATTCTAACACTATTTTAAAGAGGAAGCAAAAGTAGATACAGTGGTGTACACCTATAATCCTAGCAACTCTGGGAGGCTGAGTCAGGAGGATCACAAGTTCAAACACCACCTGGACAGCTTAGTATCTTAGCAAGACCCCAAGAAAATAAAAACTGAGAAAAAAAAAAAAAAAGCTATGCAAAGTGAACAGTGGTGAGGTAGAGAGCTGATGTGACCATGCACTGGCAGTCCAGGGATCTTAGGCTTCCTTGTCTGTGTGGCTCATTTTTCTACTGCATGAGTGCCGTAATGGGCATGTTCTCTCATTTGCTGAGTTGGGGCTTTCTTGGACACAGCTTCAGAAAAGTGAAGGTGCATAGACAGGGGAAGAAAGGCAATCCGCCAACTTGCAGTCTCTTAGCTCTGCACCCAAGGGACTCAGTAAATTTCCTGTATGAATTGATGAGCGAATGAATGAATGGACGTTGCTGAACAGAATCTCTTCTACTAGTATAGTAGGAGCTGTCTGTCCTTGTTAACAGCTTCCCTTTTTGTTTCTCCTCAGTTGGAATCAATGACCTCTGGAAAGATGCCTTTTATGTCACCAGGACAACAGGGCCAGGCTCTGAAGGGCATCCCGCACCCGTGGTGGTCAGCAAGCTTAGTCTTCGCTGGGCACTGATGGAGAGCCAGATGGTCCAGCTAAAGGAGACCACCCCCAAAATTGGCAGGGGAGAGCTGCGAAGATTCCTCTCTAGGATAAAGTTTGTTGACCCTCCCTACCAGGTGGATACCTTCTGAGATGTGTGGTTACTCTTGAGGGCTTGAGATAAACACTGCAAATGCCAGCTTTGATCTTTAGGGAGGATGGGGAGCATTTTTGAGCAGATTGATACCAAGAACCAGTAATATTGGATCAGTACTCTTTGCCAGGGGAACTTCCTGACCATGCAGAAAGGGTTCTCAGTTAATTGTTTGTAGCTGGAAATAGCTGTGTCGCCTTTAGTGGAATTTGGAAATGTGGAGTCATGGTTTTCATTGTACAGTAAGAGGTAGAGGGGTACAGAACTTTCTCATATTTTCTGGATGGGGCCTAACAAGGATGCTGACATCATGCAGGGCTCACAGCAGTTGCTGAAAAGTTACCTTGCTGAAAATATTGATGTCCATTTCCCACCCGCCCTTACCTGAAATACTCTGGTCTAGTTCAAAGCTCAAGAGCTTATCATGGAGGAGGATAAAGTCTACAGGCATTTCTGGAGGGAGGAAGGATAAACTATTGGGGCTAACTGAGAAGACAGGGAAATGAAGTAGTCCTGACCTTTAGATTTCCCTCATTTCTTTGAAAATTTCTAATGTGAAAAAACAGAGTCACTGATGCTTCTCCCTTTTCTCACAGATCTAGACTAATGGAAGCTTCGGTTTCAGAAGAAGTAAACAGGAGTGGGTCCCTCTGTCTGCTGTCCGTGAAGAAGCAGTTCTTTGGCGAGAGGAAGACTTTGGCCTCATCTAAGCACTTCCACACGATAGATCTTTGCACTTTGGAAGGCTGTTGGAGCTGCGATAACCGGTGACCCACTTGGCTGGGATGTCACACCACCTTTCCAGTCCCTGTATTAACCCTTCTAGGAACTCTGCGTGAATAGTTTGGAAATGTGAATCTTCTGTACATCTAATTTTTTTGTACATCTAATTTATAAACCATTGCTGGGAAATCCAGTAAAGTGTATGACTAGGACATATTTTGTTTTGCATTATGCTGTGTGTATATATTTTTTGGTGTTGTGGTAAGCTTATTTCCAGATATGCCCTAAGCTTCAGGGATCCCATTTCTTGTCCTCTGCAAAAACCTGTGGTTGGTCATATTGAGACTTGCAGATGACCTGCCTCTGCTTTTGAGGGTCACCCGTGTCACTCCTGTACCATGGCTGTATCTGAGCTGTAGATAAGAGATTGATGGTGGAGGACTGAGGTATCCATTCCAGCATTTCCATCTCCTTCTTTCCCCAGACTTTCCATCTTTCAGTGACCATGAGAATAGTCATGTTCCCATCAAGGGGAGCAGAGTAGTGGTTTAACTCTTATCTCTAAGCAGGTCTGTATGTTGCATGTTTTTTGTCGGCTCTGCCAGTCATGACCTCTGTTCCTGCAGCGATGTCACAAGTGCATGCTGTCTACATCTTAGAGGCTGGGAATCAGGGCTGGGAAGCCCTTGTCCTTGTCCGGCTGCATCTCCTCTCTGGCACCCTCCCTGCCTCCTCTCATCTTGCTTTCCCTTTTATTCAGGGATATGTTTCTGGACCGTAATAATTTTGCTACTTGAGTCCAGTATGTAACCATTTTGCCCTGCACTTTCCCTTATAGAGCCTTTGAAGCATTGTATTTTGAGATTATGTAAATATTATAAATTTTATAAGTGATTAAGTTCTTTAGAATTATTTCCAGCACTTACTTTCCCTATTCTTCTATGTAAATTGTTACTTCTAGGTCTTTGTCTATGTAGCAGAAAATCCAGGGGTAACTGATGAAAAAAAAACAACCCTGTTTCTTCTGCTTGAGTAATTTTGATCATCCCTGAGTAAAAATCGAGTTCCCTTCTTTTTTGGGCTACTTTGTGTTAATAGAGAGATTCTAGATTTCAAGGGGTATCTATTAATTGCCCACTGATAGGTGAAGGCATAGCAATAGATCCAAGCAGGTATATCGTTTGGCCTGCAGATTGTCTGGCCTATGGATTGGCTTTACCAGCCTGAAGACCGTGAAAGCATATTTGCTTTCAGCACTTTGGAAGTTGAGCGTGGGTCCAGCTTGGTTTTAGTAAAACAGTTAAGAGGATATACTGAGTATAGGTATCTTCACTTCAGATTCTTTTCCAGACATTCGAATCTACTTGGGTGTCAGGGTCTAGATCACAGTGATGGGGACAGTTTTGGAGCTTTCAGTAATAACAGCCTTCTGTGGCACTGTGGCTTAGATTTGCCACCACTGGCCTAGTTCTCAGGACTAACGTATAGTGGACCAAAGCCCCAAACCAGTAATTGTCCTGTGGCTTAGCTGAGCCATCCAGATATAACCTGTTCTCTGCCATGTTGAGGCTTTCTGGGAAGTCAGCCAGCAAAGACAGGAAGAAAATTCAGAGTTGTTTATTGAAAATCTGTTCAAATGGGATTTGTGTGGACAGACTGTGTGTATGCAGGTTAAATCTCAGACACACTAGAAAATTGTGTAACTGAACTTTTATCTTTTAAAAATTCAACCTGCTTCTTGAAGGCAACCACCCAGCTCAGATACCCAAGATAGGAAGTGCACCTTTCTTTTCCTAGTCCAATCTCAGGCTTTCCAGCAAAGCCAGCTGGACCACTACTTGGCAGCATTTTAACGACTTTTAGAAATGCAAGAGATTTCTCTTCTCAGTCTCTGCCTTTCCTTCCCTTGCAAATGCTCCTCTCTGTGATAGGCAGCATCCTCGCTATCCCCCAAATGTGTGGCATGGTTTTACCAACTAACCTCATGAATGTGAATTGCTGTCCTTATTGCCCACATGAAAGGAGCGCCAGCTGGCCTGTTGTCCGAAAGTGCTATTTAAAATGTGAACTGTTATAGAACAAATAAATACTGTGTACCAGAATGTACTGGTGTGTCATTTTTGTTCTTCCTTGGGGTTAGTTTGCTTCCTCTTAGGGGAAAAAAAAGAAAGGCTGTCAGTCTGGATGGGATTCTTTGTGGAGAGAAGGAGGACAAGCGTCTCAGCGGGGAGAGCAGGTGGCATCCAGAGGGGAGCCTCTGCCTGGCCTGGTTCACTGGAAAAACCCCAGTATGAGTCTGAGCACCAAGTTCCATCTGAATAGCCTTGTAGGCCATTTCTAGAAGTGAACATAACCTTGTGGGCTATGGGAGCCTTTTTGTACTATGCTAGCCTTCTAATGGCTTTTGGGATAATATTTAATGTTGCTTGTGACGTGGATATAGGGCACTGTAGCGGGCAGTGTGGGGAGTCTGTTCTTTCCATCAGAGCACTCAGTGGTGCTTCCATCTTCCAAGCTGTGACTTCCAGAAAGATTCTAGTGCGCCACGGACTGTTGAGCCCTAATCCAACTATTGTTAATTTGCTTACCTCCATTTTTCTAATTTCCAGAGAGAACAGCCCATTACCAGATTTCTAAGACCCCTAGAAGTAGGAAGTGTATTTCACTCCTTTTATCTCCATTGTTTAGTCCGGAACCTGGCACATAAGCAGTCAGTGAAGGATGAGAATATAGTTCTGGATGTAGGAGGCATGGGACGGATACACTGAGGCAGCTGTGAATGAGAAGGGGTGGTAGCAATGCCCCTTTAGGACTTGTACTTCGAGATACCCTTGTCCTTAGCTTTAAAAAACACTCAAGAGACAGACTTTGGCTTAAGCAGATGTTGATAACAAGTAACCATGTAAGGTAAGGCTCAGCCTGCTCTCCAAACCCACTTAAATCCTAGCACTGCTCTTCCTTTACAGATGACTCAGCCACTTCTTTCAGCTCGGGGATGGGCCCCTGCCGAAATGCCTTGTCTTGTAGAGTTGAGTAGAAGTCGACCCCTTCTGAGACAGAATGGACGGGCTGATTGTGGTACTGGTGGTAGCTGCTCAAAGGACCCCCTGGGTGGGCTGTGCATGACAGCTGCTGGAGGAAACACCGGTGGTGGTTGGGTAGGCAACTCGGGTTTTCTTTGAAGCTCTTACTGTGTCTGCTCTTGAACTCCAGCACCATCCTGGTGTATGCATTGAAGGTAGTGACAGCTGACGCCATGCAGCAGGTGAAGGAAATCCAGGCCATGCTAGAGACAAACAAGCACAAAAGGGACAGAAGAAGTATGACTTTTCTTGAAAGAAAAATGCCATTATCCCTTTGCGCTAAACTGATGCCTTATGGGGATTTGGGGGCCTGAGTGTTCTGCCTTCCACCATGTTTTAGGTGAAGAACTGGTGTGCCTCCGTGTGGAGTGGTACTGTTCTTGTCTAGTATGCACATGGCTCTGGGTTCAATCACAAATACTGGCAAAGAAAAATTAGGCTGCAGCTGTAGCTCAGTGGTAGAGCATTTACTTAGCATATGCAAAGCCTTGGGTTCCATTCCCAGCACACAGAGGTGGGGCGGGGTAAAAAGAGGAAGAAAGGAGGGCAAAGGAGGGAGAGGTAGGAGCATGGTGACATGACCCGTGTAGTACAAAAATTATACAAGCAATTCAGTGGAGTTGTGTGCCTATTTTGTATGTGACTGAAATATTTTTCACAGCCTTTACCCTTGTAAAATCTCCATGATTCCACAGACCTGCATGATTCCTCCACATCCCCATCCTCTCCCTTTCTCAACCCACTCCCACCCTGCCAAAGACTTCACTCAGATGCCTGGAGGGATCCTCATCCCTTTTTAAAAAAGCCTTGTTTGTTCTGAACTGAGCAGTCTTAGAGTTGCCTTTGAGACTCATTCACAAAAACTACTACAAATCTGAGGGAATTATACGATGTAGTTGTAGCATTTGCTACATTTGCTTATTCTGCAAACAGTGTAGTTCTTGGCTTAAGGTAGTTTATGATGGATGCTCCAAAAGAAGCTGGAGGTTAAGAGAAGCTGGATGGAATTAAGAAAGACAAAGACACACTAGGGAGCCATAGCAAACACATTCCCTAGAATCTTGGAATGTGAAAACCCTAAATCTCCCTGCAATTCTGGGAAGCTCAGGGAGCAGGAAGTTTTGTGAGGTTAGCAGGGCTGTCATGAGGCCGAGGGATGGTTGAAGCCAGGCCACAGCTGGTACTGGATGTTCCCATCTGCTGCCTCTGAAAAATGTAGCTTCAGACCGAGGCGCTTCATGGTACCTGTTTGGCAGACAAACCCCCCTCTTGCAACGCCAAGAGGATATGAAGACAGAAGAGGTGAGGAATGGGGTTTAGAGAAATGCTAAGCTGATGCAGTGGTGGGGATGTAGAATAAAGACTTCTGAACCAAAGGGCACACACGATACCATGAGGAAAGGGCACAGGGTCTCACACCAGACACAGGCGCATGAGGGCTTCATTCCAATGGAAACTTGAGTCTAGCACTGTCTTCTCCATGTTGTCAATGCACTTATGTATGTGCCCTGAGCAGTTAATGGGAGTCCAAACTGGCAGCTTCACAGCAAACAAAGAGCGCTCCTCAAAGGAGAAGGTGGGGGAGCTTTTAAAGCCAGTGTTGGAGTTGGGAATTCAAGATGACTGAACCCTTAGTTCTTTAAAGACTAGAGAATCACTGTGGATGGGGAAGTTTATCTCTGAGTGGAAGAATAAAATAGGAAGAAGTAGTTACTCAGAGTTTACAGTGGATTGGAGAAAAGTCATTGATCGTTGACTCCAGGTGAACTGGAATTCAATCCAAATTTCAAAGCTAATTATTCTTCATTTCTCTAATACTTGGAATTGTAAAAAGTATATAAAAAAGTATCATTTCTGTAAGCCAGAGAAAATCAGTCCCATTTCTAAAGGACAACATATATATAGGTGAGGAAGCAATGGCTGCTGCTGCTGAGCAGAAAAACTGGACAATCTGGGAGGCTGAGATGGAAGGGTCACAAGGCTGAGCCCCCGCCTGGGTGACTTAGCTAATTCATGAGATCCTGACTCAGAAAACTGAAACAAGAGCTTGGAACGTGTAACTCGGTGGAAGATCCTGGGTTCAATCACTGATGCTGCAATGATAAAGGAAGAAAAGAAAGAGGAAAGAAAGAAGCAGCCCTGGCCCCTAAAAAACCCAGATAGCAGGTGTGATGGTCCACATCTGCACTCCTAGCACTTGGGAGGCTGAGGCAGGAGACTAGCTATAAATTCGAGGCCAGCTGGGGCTACATACACAAGTTGAAGTCCAACCTATTGAAACTCTATCTCAGAAAGCAAACAAACAAACAAACAAACAGCAAAAAGAAAACCCAAACCCCCAAACTACCCAAAAAACAAAACAGCAACAGCAGCAACAACAAAAACCAAACCAGAACTAAAAAACAAGGAAAAAAAAAGGAAGGAAGGGTCAGATAAGACCATGCCATTACATGTCACAGGAATGGTCTGTATCCCTTTCAAAGACAGGAAAAAAATGGATGCCCTGATGACGGACTTCTGGAATGAAGGATGAAGAGAAATCAGAGGAATATGAAAATGAACATGGAGGTGAGAGTAGAAAATCTAGGGAAGCTTGGCTGGGAAGCAGGTGAAAACATTTAGGGAGTGCTGCTCACTTACTAGAAGGCCCAACCGTAATTCCAGGCATGTGGTCTCCAGTCTTCCGGACCCAAGTTAACAGTGGCCTGGAAGACTTGCGAATACATCATGTGGGCCACCATCCCCAGGAGGCCTTCAGAGGGAACAGGAAGGCACAGCATTAGGGAAGGCTGGCCCTGTCACTCCCTGGAAGATGATGTTGGAGCCCACTGCAGCCTCTGTCAGGACCTCCTGTTCCCTCCTTCCAGTTCCTGGGAGACCGATCTGTTCTGGGGACATCTTGAGTGCATTATCTTTGCAGTGGTCACCCCCAACTTCCTGGTGAGAGCTATGGACAAAGCCTCTGAGTGCTGCACCAGGGCCACCGCTCCATTTGCCTTCTTCCCTCACTCTGTTTGTCCTCTCTCACATGCATCTTTCACTTCATCCAAGATTGTCTTGAAAAGCTGTGTGACTGCCACCACAAGAGGGTTTCTATATTGGGAAAGTTTGCAAAGGAAGCAACCTAGAGGTAGATCATTTTGTAAAGAACAAAATGATCCAGTAAACAATTCCATATTATTTCAGCTTAAAATGAAAGATGTGATGTGTGTACCAATTCCCCCCAATGAATGTAATCACTGTGTATCACAAACATAGTAATAAAAAAAGGGTACTTGCCATGTGTCACTATTTCCTATCTTTAGGCGCTCTCAAGGACAAAGCCAGAGCCCCTCCTAGGTTGGGAGTCACTCACCTGACAGTACAGAGGAAATGGCAGCAAAAGCACTCAGCTTGAGCCCGCAGCCTGGGTTCCCCGTCAGCAGCAAGTCCATCAGTAGCAAGAGGAAGCTGATGAACTGCAGCCCAATGTAGGTGATTTGGGCGCCCAGCGATAACCAGAGGATTTCTGTTGGAAACCATGCAGAGAGAGGACCCCACCCCAGCAGTTACATAACTGGACCAATGGTCAACTTACACAGCCAGCCCCCCTAGAAGTCAGAAGCCCAGAGGCCTGGGAGAAGAGGAGAATGCGATCAAGCTGTAACCAGGGACTCTATTTTGAGTTGAGGTCACTCTGCACATAATCAAGTAAATATGGACTGTAAATACACTTAGGGAAGTTTGCGATTTTAAAAAATTGCCTGTACTTGCATAAATCCTGATAGACTATAGCTTTGCTAGTTATCACTTTTGCTTTTTTCTTATTGAATTTTGGGAAAACTAGTTTTGTGTCCGTTCTCTTTCTTCCTGTCCCTCCTCCCTCCATTCCTTTCATTAAAAGTAATAATCAGAGAACCGTGTTGAAGCTTTCCAACATGGCTTCTTGGCAGCGAGAGCCAGCCAGAGTTCTTGGTGGTTTTCTATTTGTGAACTTTATTTAGCTCTGCTGTTCCCCACTCAGAAGAGGAAAGGAGAAATCACAGCGCAGTTTAGATGCAGAGAGGCCCCACTCACGTAGCTAGACTGGATCTGAACACATACTTGCCACAAGCCCCAAGGGAAGGTAGGAGAGGAACGAGTTCTCCGTCAACCCTCCAAATCGGAGAGCGGGGTGACACAGGCCTTGCAACGTGGATAATTCCAGTAGTCCTTTCTCACCTCTCTCGGCCGGTGGTGTGAGTTCAAGGAAGCTTCGGCACCTCTCCCCTGAAACATACAAGAGGCAACTTCATGAGGGTGCTTCCTTGGGCAGCCCCATCCCTGGACTGCTCTAGGACTCAGTAAATGTCTCGTTTTGAAAGCAGGAAAGAGTACTTGAATGAATGAATGAATAGCAGAGTCAGGAGGCATCAGACTGGTTTCTCCTGCCTTTCTGGTAAGACATGCTGTTTCCCTGAGAACACCAGCCCAGGCTGATGGTCCCACTTTCCCTTCTCAGGAAGAGCACATGACCCTGGTGCTGATGAATGAATGAATGAATGCCTTTTGCTGCCACTGGACCGAGGGACAAAATGGCTCTAAATTGTTTCCAGGACTGTGGCTGGAGCAGTGTTGAGCTACACAATAATAAATATAAAATGCAAGTACAATCATGCAATTTTATTCCCTGATACTGGGCATCAAACTCATGACCTTGCACTTGCCAAGGAGGTGCTTGTGCCGCTGAGCTAAACTTTTACCCTGGCCCTAAGTGTGAAGGTTCTAATTGAAGAATACTTTTTTTCATTCTTGCAGGGCCAGGAATTGAACCCAGGGCCTCAGAGATGGTAAGCAATCACCAGACTTAGCTTAGTAGCACAGGGCCTGCCTGGAAAGTGCAAGGTCCTGAGTTCAATTCCCGGTACCCAAAAACACAAAACAAAACAAAACGAAAACAAAAGAATACGGCTAGGGCTGGGTTGGGGCAGAGCAGTACTTTCCTTTGCTGCTGGAGCTCAGGATGCCTTAACTGGTTTCCTGCCTGCGTAAAAGCCCTGTTCTATCCCCTTGCAAAAATAAAAACAGAAGCAAAAATGCCCCCGACAAAAGCCAAAACTGGGTAGATGTGGGAAGGCTACCTGGTTCTTCCATGATTTCCTCGCAGGATAGCCACATGCCACTTCGGAAGGTAAGGAAGGAGAAGCGGTCATCCCCAGTCTCCCAGCTGTATTGTACCACCTCCTGGGCTGATGTGTTGGGGAGGACGCCCTCCAAGGACAGTGGCATGTCAAAGCATTTGGTTGCCAGACTTTTTCCGCACAGGGGCTTGGGCACCTTCTGTGTCCCCACAAACCAGTAGTTGCTGAGCAGGGATGTTGTTGAGAGGCTGAGTGATAGCATGCTGAGGACGGCAGATACGAATGTCCGCTGGCCAGAGGAGTCCTTCGGGAGTTCCATCTGCAACACACAAACACAGGAGGGTGGGAAGGGAGCTGGAGAGCCTGATTTCAGAGCCTCCTTGGAGGTGTGGACCAGCTTCCTTTGCCTTCAGTGCTGGCAGGCAGAACCAGGTCTGAGTGGTTTTCTCCCGAAGCTCGGTTGAATGGCTCAATTTAAATTGGACCTTGTGTGGTTCTTACAGAAAAACAGTAGTGATTTGCACAGATGGAATAATGACAGGGATGGACTCTGGGCGTGACACACAATCCAGAGGAGGAGGGATAAAGGCGATCCACCAGATGGCACACATCATAATGAAGAATGCACATGTCAGACTGAACTGGCCTCTGACTGGCGAACACTAGGGAAAATGTGCGTGTGTGCCTTTGGGGAAGACTCTAGAAGGACCCCACAGGCAGTAGGTGTTCTGAGCAGGAGTGATGAATTTGCCTGCGGCACCAAATCATCACTGTGTGGGGCCAGAGGCAACAAGAGAGAGTGAAAGTGAATTGCAACAAATGCTGTTGCCGGCCAGTCTGTGCCTCCTGAAATCCCCCCTCTTGTAGATCACCCAGGCCCCATGTACTTCAGGAGGGTCTCCTCACACACACCTTTTGTGGGAAGTGGGGCTGGGGAGAGCTTCCAGGACTCAGTTTTTATTTCCAAATTTATCTGCAGTTCTGGCTTACCTCCCCGCTTGAGACTGACTCTACATTGCCCTAGGTAGCAAACCTGGCTTTCTCAATGTCGTGTCCCACAACATCAGGTGCTGTGTTCTGCACATTGCACACTCACTCCTGATGTACTTAGTAAACTGACGGTTTGAGCAAGCATCCAAGAGCAATAGCCTCAGTCAGACTGTGACTAAGCCAGGAAGGCTGTCGCCTGCAGGGTTTAGAGGAGCAATTGGGAGGACTCACAGTGGTAATTACTTCTGGTTTTGTCTTCTGCTCGCTGAACTGTTTGTTATTATAACAGAGTGAGTTAGTGGCTTTTTCTACATTCTGGACTCCTTAAAGAGGAGCAAAGGGGGCTGTGCCCCATCAGTCACTGTCAAATGGCATCATCCTGAGGGGAGCAGATGGAGCTGTACAGATGGAGGGCACAGAAGGTAGGGGGCCGAGCGGGCAGAGGGCTGTTGAAGGCCCTGCAGAAGAGAGAGGGCTTGTGGGTTCTGATCGAGGTGATGAACTAAGCCCAGAGTCTCAAATGGGAGGTGCCTGCATGGTGCCACTGATCTGAATCCCAAGGATCAGGGAACCAATGGGAAGCCAAGCCCTTAGTTGGTGGAGAGGTCTTTGGAGGGGCATCTCTGCAGCCCGGTGCCACAGTAGTGCTTGGCTCAGCGTGGGAACACAATGTATAGTAACAGAAAGACCTGTGGCCCCAGGAACTCCGGGTGGAGCCGCTGCTTTGTCAGGTTCAGCCTATGAAAAGTGTGACCTAAAAAAAATGACCATTATTAAATCTGTCAACTCCGTTGAGTGGTGGTTTGGAGCCAGATTTGATGTGATTTATAAAAATAATTCCAACAGGCTCTCTGCCTTGTGTTCTGGAGCACTGTATGCTATTACATGAATACATTTGGAACAGAAAAGGGGCCCGTGTTTAGTGGCCGACAGACGCTTCTTAAAGTAAACCATCTTGAGCTTTCCAGAGTATCTCTCATATTGCAATTAATCAGACCTAAATCTGCTTAGCTTAAGAGATGTAAATAAAACTACAGTTAAATGAACAGGCCTGTAAATCTGCCTCCCTCTTCAGCCCCAGCTTAACAGTTTCTACATTTAACAGAGAGCTTTAATTTAGAGCCATAACTGTTTGTCCTTCAGAGTTTCCAGGGACTAAAGCTGTGCATACCACAAACTACCTATTTGTGACCATAAGAAATACGCAAGATGGGTATATATATATATATCCCCCAAAACAGAAGACAAAGGATAAAACAGCTTTGGGAAAGCAACCCACTAATGAGATTTTTTAAAAAGCAATCGACAATTTAATTCTATCAAGATTGGTCAGTTCTTGTAAAACTCTTGGTAACCTTGACTAAGGATCCACCCCTCCACACTCACTCACACACACACACACACAGACACTGAAAGAAGCAAAGATCTTACACTGCTAAGTCCTGGTGACATGTGCTGCTCTCTTCTCCGAACAGAATGTTTTTACCTTTTCAGTTCTGATAATCCTATTGGCTTTCTTCATTGTCACTGGGTTTTCTTTTCTATTATTCTTATATCTATTTGTGAATAGAAATGGACTTCCAGGTAAAACATTTTCACTAACTTTTCTGTAAGGATTTAGACAATTCTAAAATTGTCACCATGGGATGTTTTCAATCTTTCTTGTTTGAAAATCACCTACTATCACATCACATTGCATCACATAGGTTTAACTCCACATTCAATCCATTTCAAAACATGTATTTGTAAGTTAGTCTCTAGGTTATTTAGAAAACAAGAAATAAATCCTACACTGAAGTACAGCCATCTTGGGGCACCAAAGTAACAAATTAAGAGGTGCTTTGAGAAACAAAGGATGGAGGAGACCTTAAATCAGCTCAGAGAGGTCCTTGTAGAAGTGTTCACCAAGAACAGACACGAGAAGCTCCATCCAGGAGTTATCGTCTTGATAACCAAGTGATGGTCTCATTCAAAAGATAATTCTCAAGAATTATCTTCAGTACTCATTGTACCATGCTTTGTTACATTACTTTTCTTTCTAAGATCCAGATACCTCTTACCAGAGGAAGAAATCTCATTTTGCAATGGCTTCCTTTGAGTGATTCTGGAGAAATATAGCCAAAAGAAAAGTTATATCTTTGCATAAGCAGACAGGCCCTATGCAAAGTTGACTCAACTCTCCAGAAAAGGTCCAGAGTGGCTTCTCTGACATTTAGGGGCTTAGATTATTAGGGTACCTAGGTGCCTGATATGTCAGTACTCCCTCTAGTAACACATTTTAACAGAAAAACTTGATAGTTGCACAGGCTAGGTAGGACAACAGATCGATGAGATAGGCACACCTCATAAAAGCACCAGGTGCAAAAAACATCTGTTGGATGTATCTCCTGATATAAAGGGGAAGCTCATGTTATCTTGGACATGGTCAGCATTCTGCAGCCTGTCTCGGAGGACAGAAGGATTCCTTTTTCACCACAAAGCTCTTTGGTTTAATGTCTTAAGGATGAACACTGCTTTCCCACTCTCCTCCCATGGCTCCCCACTTCTGTCACATACTTTTGGAATGCTTCTTGATTAAATGCTGCCTTACAGTGCATATGGGCATTTAATAATTGATAATGCAATCACAGCCCAGATGTTCTGGGAGATTACACCAGAGAGCTGGCCAGTGGAGATCTGGGATTAAGCACAACTAGACAAGGATATCTACATTTGCAAAAGGAACTTTGTCTAAAAGGTAAGTGATTTCATTTCCACTTACCTGTCATTCTCTAGAGAACTGTGAATGGATTGGGTTAGATTTTTGGAAGACAGAAGATATTATGGGGGCATTATTAGTAGTACAAAATTCCTTTTCCTTTGAGTAGGGTTTTCTGTGCCTTTCAAGAGGGCATATTCTCTGCAATGTCAGGACCTCAGGGAGCCATGAACTGAACAGCTTCATTGTTCCATGTGTGCATGCCAGTTTTTACGTAGTGTCATTAGTAAGGATGCTCAATACCTCCCTCCACATGGAGTGCAAAGAAAAAGTGAGAGTGTTGGATGGGAATGGAGTTGAGGATATGGATGCAGCAGGATTAGAGTGTGAGTTTGATTTATTTTACTTACGAGGGTGGTCTCAAGGTGTGCCATAAAAGCCTCGATGCACTCTTTCTTTATGGATAATGCTTTTATTACTCAGCATATTTTTTACTCTTTTCAGACTGATGCAAATAAGTAAATACATGTGTGCTTTATGTCCAAGCATGTTATATATACCATGAAAAAACTCCCTACCTATCAATGGCAAAGCTTACCCTCTGGGAGAGAAAAGGGGGCTGGAATGCATGATCAATCCATCAGTCACATTTGCTGGACCTGGCCATGCAGCTTCCTCAAGACACTGGGTGGCGCTCTCGCTCCACATTAGTTCCTCTTCCAGCCTGGACATCCCCATCAGCAAAAAGTGGGTGGAAGTGACTGTTCTTCCCACTATAGAACTGTTCTCACTTCGTCACTTGGCCCCCTCCCTGCATAGCATACTAATCTACAGAATACCATGTGTCACCCTGATGGAATTCAAGGCTGAGAACGAATTTGCCACTCCCCGGAGGACCTCTTCTAGGATTATTTCCTGTAGCACATTTTTTGGTGGCCCAGTTACAGTTTTCGGTGACTCAATAAATCCTCAAATACTTCCCAGGGGAAATACAACGCCACAGTATCAAAAAAATACAGTTACCCCATGTTTCCTGATGAGTTTGGTGCACATTTTTCTCTACTTAATTGTATCCTTATTTGTTCTCCACCCTAGAACAGTGAACAATTCTTTTCCTTTCTCTGTGCTTACACCCTTCAAATACTTGCAACCCTTCTCATATCCCTCTTTGAGTCACTGTTTGGCACAGCCCTGTGTCTTCAGTTTTTATTACCTCTGCTTATAAACCGCACCCCCTCTGCCTTAATAGCCTGAAGTTTTGCCTTCTCTGGGGGAAAGGGGACGGGAGTGGCAGTCAAGCACGTTACATGAGGAGTCCCAGAGGTGGATTTAGCCAAGCTAATGACACTTCAGCTTCGTGGTCTCCCCTCCTCCTTGGGCTGCTCCCAAGACCCTGTTACTGAATTCAAGCTTATAATTTTGCATTATTTTTCTCCCAGAGGGCCTCCAAAATGATATTTTAGGCCTCCATAAAACCAAGGTCCTCCTGAGGCTGTACATCTTTTTGTGGGTGCTCGGCTGGCTAGCTGCTAGAAGTAACCAGCTTTGCCCCCTGCCCACCAAGACCCCTGGGCCACAACATCCAATTTCCTCTTTTTGACAAAACACAAGTTTCTCTGCCTGACCACAAAAACCAGAGTCCGGCATCCTACTCATTTCCTTTCATTGTAATTTGGGCATGTTAATATATTTTTTCTTCCCTTTCCTTTCTTAGAAAAAGTAATTGCTAGTCAACGTAACACAAATATAATCATGCTAGACCCAGAAGCTCATGACTCAGTAGATACACAAAGATTCCACATCTCAAATCAGTATTTAACTTTGGTATACTGGACTTTTTCCATTTCAGGATGACTCCCACAGGACTAGGTATGTACCTCACTGATTGTGACATCACAAAGCCAAGTTGAGACAACCAACCTCTGCTAAGATCTTTAGTCACTGTGTCTTGTTACATAAAACCATGTTTGCTAGATACGCATAAAGAGAAACGGTGGTTTCATGATTCCTATATACACTTCATAAATGGACATTCATTCAGTTTATTGTGCTGTGAATACTCTGTAGATCATAGGTAATTATAACGATGCTTACGAATGCTGGGCCGGAGCAGGTTGCATGGCATACTGCTTCCCTAAGACTGGCTGAAGACTGAGGCCTAGGGAGCTGGTGAGGGTATTTATTTCCTTTCTTCATATCACCTGTACTACTGACATCATCTTGTTTACCCTCCCTGACCATAATTTCTGTCTTTCTCCCTGGAGCCAGATTTCCAACCTATATCCCACGAACAACTCTGTTACTCTGTAGATAAAAGACTGGAGTGGGATTGAAAGGTTTTGGTTGTCACCAGCTCTGAGGGACCTCTCCTGTAACTTGAGGATTTACTTGTATGTTATGCTCATTTGACTTAATTCCTGGCTGCCATAGCAGCTGTTTTATTCACTGTTGATCTTCAAAGCCCAACACTGTTTTAATGTCCAGGAATGCAGTTTATAATGCTGACAAGGCTCATGCACATAGGCTGCTGTGGATGAAGATCTGAATAATGAACTCTGCCCAAACTCTGCTGAAGTCCACATGGTTCTTCCCAGTCCACACACACACACAGGAACATGGGAAGCTACAAAAAGGGTCCCTAGGTCCACAGACACACCCTGGGTCTGTCTGCACAGATGCTCTTTCAGTTCCCACAAACAGATTCTCTGCCAGTACATTTCCTCTCACCTGTGGGAACATTCCTGCTTTTTGATGAGTGAAGCTCAGAAAACAGCAATGATCTCATGGGCGAGCATTATCTTTAGTTCACAGAGACTGGGGACAAACAGATTACTCAAAAGCCAGGGAAAGACTGAAAATATGATGGCCTGTTCCAAGCTGGGTGATTTTCTACCGATTAGGACCCTTTTGGATAATGTATCTGGAGCCTCTAGAGATTGTACAGCTCTCTTTACAACTTTTACTTCAGTGTGGGACATTTGACTCCTTCATTGATGCAAGCAAGGAAGGTCTTTAGGCAAGATATTTTGACCTCTGCCCCTGAAATGGGAAGGAAAGCAGGAAGCCTTTGCTGTTGACACTGTAGGACTGTTAGCTCTTCAATTTCCCAAATTAGCTTCGGGCTAATTCTTCTCACGCCACGCAGTGTATCGGGGGTCCAAATAACCCCAAACGCTCACACAGTAAAGCCAGCCCAGTCTTCTGAATGTGCGCCCCGCGCTGGAAACGCTTGGACTATTGTTCAGTGGGAAGGACCCCAAGGAAAGAGTTGGGGGTGGGTGGTGGGTGGGGGGGCTCTCGCCTTCCTTTCCCTTTCCGCTTTTTAATGGAATTATTGAAGGGCTTTTGCTAATGCAATCGTTTCCAGGAGAGGAAGCCGCCTTTATTCCCTGACCCAAGCAGCTGTAGTGAATCAGAGGGGCAGCCACATCTGCGCATCCTGTGGGGCAATCGCTCACGCGCGGGTGACTGAGCCCGCTGGCCTGGCTGGGTCTGGGGATCTTGGGGGCCACGGGGCGGGGTAAGGAGGTGCTTGTCAGCGCCCCCCTCATCCCTTCCTTTCCTCTTCGCTCTCCCTTCCGTCCCCAGACTCGCGGCGTCACGGGATGAGTAACACTGCTTTCCGCGTTTACTACGGCGCCCCAGTTGCCTAGCAGCGAGCCCGCGTTGCCATAGCGACGCGCCAGGAAGCCTTTAGCATTGTTTGGTGAGTCCCGCCCTAGCGGCTTTGGGACTTCCAGACCGGGTGGGGCAGGGGAGCCGCTGTTTTATTCCTTGGTGTTCCAGCGTCCGCTGGTAACGCGACCCGAGGGCCTCCTCCAGCGACCTTGAGGATCTGCGGGTTGCAGTGCACTCCGAAGCCAGTGATTTCCTCGCTCCTTCCCTTTCCCTAAAGGTAGTGGGGTCCTGCTAACTGTTCTGAAGGAACCTCACGAGTCAGGTGGAGGCGCAAGCCTGTCAGCCCATCCCTCTAGGAAGCTGAAGCGGGAGGCTGACGAATTGAGCGGTTTAGAGAGATCTTGTCTCAAAATTAAAGAAAAAATTTAGAATTTTAAACAAGGGTAGGAAATGAACTTAGTGTGAAGGCCCTGGGTTCAGTCTGCATTACCACCACCACCACCACAAAAGAAAAAAAAAAAAAAAAAAAAAAAAAAAAAGAACTTTATTTAAGAAGAAAACAGCTCCTCCCATCTGATATCAGTTCTGTTCACTGCTTCACTCCAGATCTGATGGCTGCTTTGGCCAAATTACTTAACCTCTTCAGGTTTAAATACCGGAAAAGAGTGGAGGGAAAGCTCTCTGCGTGAAAAGGAGGCGAAATGAACCTGCACTGCTACCGGGAATCAGGCTAGACTGTTCACAAGCATCTCTAGTCCATACACCTAGCCCTCACACCAGAGAGACAGAGAGAGAGAGACTCCCTTCTACAAGCAGTGGCCCAGGTTCGGTGTGTGACTTGCTCAAGGCCACAAAGCTAGTAAATTATGGAGTCAGCGTTTAAAACTTTCTGACATACTTTGCCTGAGTCATGACCTTGTCTGCCACTCAAGGAAGGGTGGGCACAGTCACCTTTAACAAAATTCACAGACTTAAGGCCACTGTGGAAACTCCTGCAAGGGATTAGTTGTGCTGTGCTTCACAGTTTTCTCAGGTAAATGGTAGCCAGCAGACATGCCCATATGCCTTCTGTGTCTAGACAACTAGTGATAAAAAACTATGAAATCTAAATCACGGCTGGCTGGTTCTGTCACATTCATAACCACTTCTGAGGACTCTCCTATTTATGGTCTATTCACTTCGGGCTACTTCTGAATTCAGGAAGCTGCCTAAGTTCCCACTCTGACAGCTCTTCAGAACCACTGGCTCTGTCCTGCAGTCTCAGAAGAGCCTCTTAGTTTATCCTGTCCTCCCATCCGCGTGCTCTAATTTCCAGCTGCTTCCTGTGTGTGTGCTCTAGTTTCTTGGCTAATGGCAAGCTGTACTTTTCTCTTCTGTGACAAGTGAAGAATGAACACCATTCGCTGTTTTTTTTTTTTTTTTTAACCCTTTGAGATAAAAGCTGGTAATTCCCAGTATGAAAGGAGGCTGGTCATTTCCAGATACAACTCTAAACTTGAATAAGACAGGACTTCTCTGCTGTGAGAGTCTTGCTGGGTCTGGAAGGGTCCCTCAAGACCCTGCTAAATTCTCTGAGACCAGAGTGAAGCCTGAGGCTTTGCTCCTTTCCTCATTCCTGATGGCAGCTGCCTTCTGTCGGGACCTTGGTGTATGCTCTTCCAGCTCACTAGGGTGACACGCATCTCCATAATTTCTGGCCATTACAAGATTTTGGCAACCGGAATCACAGAGATAGAAGGAAAAAAAGAATTGCTGTAACTAAGAGCTGAGCCGCTCCTGGGGACAGTGAGAAAAGAGGAAGATGAAGAGGCAAAGGAAGAAGAAAAATTTCAATGTGAAACTTCAGGGGAAGGTGGGAAAACGAGCGGCCAAAATAAAAACAAACCAGGTTTATAAATAACAGGCTTGAGTAGCAACTTGCATTCTATTTTGTGTAATACTACAGTGTGTTTGTGAGCTCCTCACTGTAAGCATGTGAAGTAAATTAAACTGAAGCATTGATATCACCTGTATTATAAACCTACCAGTAAGCACAGTCTGTTCACTTAACTGATATTTGTGGAGTTTCAAAAAGTAGTGTACCTACCTCCTGGGTGAGGCATACATTGTGAGTCAGTTGAGAAGAATTGCTCATTCACTGTGGTACTTCAGCAGCAAAGAGATTTCGGTTTCTCTTCAGTGGGGTCTCAATCGGTTGGGTAGACTGAGTACTGAATGAGAGGAGCTCAGGCCCCCTCTCGCCAGCAGAGGGGTGAGGTGGTGTGTGGTGGGCTGCAGAGATGGAAATGATGCTCCCTAGTTGGCTGGGGTGGGGCTGGGTGACTCACAGGTTTGTTCTGTGATGTCACAGTGGCAGGCAGGGTTCTCCCAGATGTCCCTCCCCCACCCCTCCCCAACCCCCATGAAGATTAAATTGGGAGAGGGACACACTGGTACTTAGCAAAGGCCTGCGTGTCTTCTGAGGGCTTCCTGTCTAGGAGAATCCCCTGGGGGAATTATTCAAATGTGGACTCTGGAGTTCTGTAAGGGCTCCCACAGGACACCAACTAGACCACACTGAGTGGTAAAGTCTAGACCTGTGCTGTCAAAGGCAAATACAGTGTGAACCACATATGTTACTTCAAATTGTTTAGTATTTACATTGAAAAAATCTAAAATGGACACACACTAACAACACAACAATGAAATCTTACCTAATGCTATGTTTAAAGTTGTAGTGTTCCTGAAACAAAGTTGGGTTTCCTAGTAAAAAATACCCTCCTTCCGTTTTAAAATTAAAAATTATATGAATAAATAGAATTAGAAATTCAGTTCCTCGTCACTATCTACACCCTAAAGACCCGAAAGCCGCATGTGGCTAGTAGCTGTTGAATTGGATAGCATGATTTTAGGCCATTCCCTGAAAAGGAAATGATGTACAGAAATTACATTCTAAAGGACTAGTGTCTGACAGCCTACGACACACTGGATAACAGAGTTTTAAATTTGGAGTCAGGAATACGAAACACAGAGGTGTAACTCTCCGAGGCTTCAGGTGGGTGTAGTTGGCCTCCTTGGTATTCCAGCTGTCTGGATGGAGGAGTCTGTTGCCCTGAGAAACATCGCACCTAGGCCACCTCTGTGCCTTTTATAGGCTTCATTTCTTGGGATTCATTTCTCATCCTTGATTCCTGTCTCAGTACTTTGCTATTTCTGCTGTTCCTGTGGGCTCCCAGGGCACGCCTGGTACGGCAACCTCTTTACATGGGATATTGAATGGTTTTTCTGCTTAGATGGGTTACTCCTTCTCCCATCAAATTCTCTTGCTGCTTGAGGCCAGAGCCTATTTACCTCTGTGATGCCTACTGTAGCGGTAAAGGGATAATAGTTACTCAAGAAGTGTTATTTCATTAAATGACCTTAATTACCTAGATGTCTAAGAACATCGGGCCTGAAAGAGTCAGTAACTTGACAAAGCTAAGCTGGGGCTGGGTGACCCATGAGTGTACTCTGTGATATCACAGTCGCAGTAGGGAGAGGAGTTAGGTTTGGAACAGACATGCTGATACCTACTGAAGCCTCCAATGTCTTTTGAGGCCTCTAGGTCAGTGCTTCTCTATCTGTACACAGGGCGAGAAATGGGCGCAGAAAAATATATTATTCACATTGGAGCCCCCTAAATGTGAAACTAGGCTAACGGGTAGGCTAGGGGTGGGGCAGAGGTTAAAGTTGCCAAAGTATGTTAGGCACATGTATAAATCTGCCAAAGTTAATCCCATTAATCTGTATAACTAATAAAACAAACAAACAAAAATAGCAATAAAATGAAAAAAGGAAGCATACCTGAGCAACCAATCTCTAACCTTAAAAAAAGATCATCTGGGAGCTTATTCAAATGTGGATTCTGAAGGTCTGGGATGGCCAGATACTTGATAAGAAAAGGTGGATAAATTTGACTACATTAAAACAAAAATTTAAAAAAAGATGTTTTTCATATGTTGATCAAGATCTCAATTCTGATTTCATTTGTAAATTTAATGTAACCCCAATACAAACATTAAAGGGATTTTTAAAAAATTTTCCTTTTTGAGACAGGATCTCACTGTGTTGTTTAGGCTTGTCTTGAACTTACTATGTAGCCTAGGCTGGCCTTGAACTTGCAGTGATTCTCCTGTCTCAGCCTCCTGAGTGCTGAGATTACAGGTGCGCTCCGCCACACCTGACACAAGAATTTTTAGACTGTGACAGGTTAATATTTAAAATTATACAGGGGAAAGCACACAAGTTTGTCTAGGAGAGCTCTGAAGAGGAAGAGCCGTGAGGTCGGACTATCCTTAATAGAGCAAAACAATGAGGTACTGGTGCATGGCTAGACAGAGCAATAGAACAGACTAGAGTTAGTCAAGAAAGAGACACAGCTATGTATGGACCTCCAATATGGGACAGAGGTGACACCAGTAATCCTGGAGGCAGACATGATCTTTTTAACAAATGGTGTTGGAACAGACTGGGGATCTTTTTAGTAAAATAGAACTTACATTCAGTTTTTAAATACCATATATAAGAGTAAACATCAAGTGGATCAGAGATCTGAATTTAAATATGGAATTATACAAGTACATCCTAGATGTAAAAAAAGGCTTTCTAACTGAAACTAAAAATCCAGATACTTGGTAAGAAAAGGTTGACACATTTGATTTTCTTTTTTTAAAATTTTATTTAAGGAGAAAAAGAGAAAAAAACAGAAAAAGGGTACAAGTTATACAGAATTAAAAAAAAAACAGTAGGAAATCACTAGTTAATAGATTACATATTGTCATCTTAGAAATAGTTGTTCAAGTTACAAAATTAAAGCATATAAAGTGGACTAACAGTGAGACTGCAAACAGTTCTGTTCAATGATCCAACAAAAACTCAGGAATATCGTTCTCTATCTTATACGCTTAAATATACATGCAGTTATATCCTTTAGAGAACTTTCTTATCCTCTCTTTTTTACAATGACAATTACACATTTTGAGTTTTATTATTCCCACAGCTCTTATTACTTTTTTTTGAAGAGAATAAAACCAAATGTGACATAAAACAGAGTCAATCAAATCAAAAGGATGGACATAGTACATAATGTAAATACAGAATACAAGGTGATCAACAATGGTTACCATAATGCCTCTTGCTATCTTAAAAAGAATTGCCTATATCATCAGTTATAATAAAATTGAACAAAACAGTAAAGAACAAAACCAATAAAACCAAAACATTGGAGACATTACAGGATTTCAAAAGAAGATAATCGTCAAACCAGAATGGGCATCATAGTGAATCTTATTGTCTTCACAGTTGTTGCCTATACTCTCAAACTTGGTTACTATTAAGCAAAACAGAACAGAGTAAAATCAGTCAAAACAAGATGGTGAGAGTGATACAGGGTTTCAAATCAAGTTAATAGGAAATCAAGGTGGGTTACTATAATATATCCTGCTATTTTAAAAATTTTTCCCTTAATTAAAAAGATAAAAAAGTAAATAATAAAAAAAGGAGATTGAGATAAAAGAGGACATAACAACAAAACAGCACAGGTCAAAACATAACCATTTAAGCAAAACAGTGTTTCACCACAAGATATCCCCACATAAAAGTAGTTACCATAGTGTCTCTTTCCTTGAAATCTTTGAGTATAACTTCGTATACTGTAGCATCAAACATATCAAGACAATGTAAAACCATTCAAGAGAATGACAGTATTATAGGGTACTTAGAACCAACTAACAGAAAATGAACAACAGTTTCTGTATTATCTCCTTGTCTATAAAAGTTTTTGTTTATATTATCACATTTAATAAAATCCAGTAAGATATAACATGTTAAGACCGATGGAGACAGAAGAACAAAAGCTTGATGGGACTTCAAAAAAAGATGATATTAAATCAACACTTGCTATTATAATGTCTTGTTATCTCCAAAATAGCTGTTCCTACCATCCAACCTTCATTTCTGTTGAGCTCTTTTTCTGTCATTAGTTGTCAGTTTGTCTTCTTCATTTCGCTTTTTGCTCCATTCATTGTGGCCTCTCTGCCACTGTTTCTGAAATCTTGGTATTTTTCTCTTTTAGAATGTCCTGCAGTATTCTCTGTAGAGTTGAATTGGTGGTTGCAAATTCCCCTAGTTCCTCTTTCTCCTGGAAGCACTTTGTTTTTTCATCAATTTCTAGGGACAGTTGTGCAGGATATATCAATCTTGGCTGGAGGTTATTATCTTTCAAAGCTTGAATTATTTCCCCCCACACTCTTCGTGATTTGATGGTTTGTGGCGAGAAGTCTGCTGTAATTCTGATGGGTGTCCCCTTGTAAGTGATCTGTTTCTTGTCTCTGATGGCTTTTAATATTCTGTTCTTCTATTGGATTTCTGGAATTTTGATTATTATATGCCTGGGTGTAGTTCTGTTTGGGTTGTAGGTGGCTGGGGTCCTGTATGCCTCATAGATTTCAGTATCTTTACCTTTTCACATATTAGGGAAGTTCTCCTTGATTATTTCTGTGAATAGCCTTTGCAGTTCATTTGTTTGTATCCCTGCTCCTTTCTTTACATTCTTAATTCTTAAAATTATAGATCCTCTTATCATCTTCTAGCCTTTGTATTGTCACTGCTTGTTTCCTTGTTATTTTAAAGAAGTTTTTCCTTTCACACTCCCACCTTACAAATCTGTCTTCCAGTTCAGATAATCTATCCTTAGTTTCTTTCAAGCTGTTATGCCAGCTTTCAAGTTTTTAGTTTCCTGGTAATCTTTCTGAACCTGCTTCATGTATTCTGTGTTTTCTCTATTTTCTCCATCAAACAATTTTCCCCTTTTTTTCCTGTTCTTCCATTCCACCATCTGTTTTTTCTTGGGAGTTGCTTAGCATTTCTTTAACTATTCTACTTATATCTTGCTTTACTTTGTTAAATACTTCACTTTTGAACTCGTCTGTGAGGTCCCCGTGATATCGCTTTATGTCTATTGGTGCCGTGTCTGATATTGCATGTTTTCTGTTCTCAATCTCCTTTGCATTTACCTTTCCTGTATCAGTGTTCTCAGGATTGGGGACTGAAGACCCTTTCTTGTTGCTCCCTCTTCCCATACTTTTTGTTCCTTCCATACAAGTGTATATAGGAGGCCCAGTTTCTTTCTTTGTTAGTTACAGTTTGTTTGAATCATGCTGAGTAGGTGTTCCTGCCTACTGCAGTGTACTAGGGAGACACAGACCTGGGCAGACTATTCTAGGCACCCCCCTCCAGATCAGTCAACCTACTGAAGGCTTCACTACATTAGGGTGCATTGCCA